GAGAGCCAGGTGGGGCGAGGACATGGAGCCGCCGAGCATGGCCGTCCTGCGCCCGGCTGAGGCCACAGAGACGGGCCTCTTATTGCAAGGGCACGTGTATTTGGACTGCGGGTGCAGGAACGTCATCGTGTCCTCCAGCCTTGTCCGCCAGGGTGAGCGGGGCTGGTGGGTGGGTGTTTTCCGCCACAGCGCCGAGGCCTGGAACGCCACCGCCATCCACAGCCACAGCGCCAGGGCCTGGAACGCCACCGCTGTCTGCCTCTTCGGCATGGAGGAGGTAACGGAGCGAGCCAACGTGTCTGCGCACTTCGCCATGGACGGGAACAGCTACGTAAGTCTGGGCATCCTTTTGTGGCTGGTGAAGCCGTGTGGGACGCGTGGGGTGTCCCTGGCCTGAGGGCGCGTGAAGTTCGCAGGGAACTTCAGAGCTGCTCCAGGCTTTGTGTATCAGCCCTGGTTCCATCAGCCCTAATGGTTTCTGCAGTGCTTTCTGTATCTAAAAAGCTGATCCCTTAGCAGATCCTGGAGTGTCCTTCCCACGTACGTCTTGGAAAAGACACGTCTGAAGGAACACCTGAGGGCGTCCCAGTTCAGGCCTGAGTCTTGGGCCCCTCACTCCATGCGCCCTTGTCTGCCAAGGATTAGTCGTGCTTCGTTGTGTTTTCCTTACAGCTTAGAGAAAGCATCTCCTACCTTATTCTGTGCATTCTCATCTCATGTCATTGCAGCTACATCAGAAATGAAAAAAAGCTGATCAAATTGACTCCTGTTCACTGAGCTGTGTGCGTTGTTATCCCCATAGCTCACTAGTTATTTATGGTTGCATGTTCAGTGGTAGGTGTTTTCCAAACCTCCCAGAACTGGCCTTGGTTGAGAGGGCTCACAGCCACCCCTCCAAACCTGCGTGCACAGCAGACAGCGATATGTCTTTGTTGTTGCAGTGGTTACATTTTCACAGGCAATGGTATCCCATGGAGATCCCCTGGTCACCTACTTCTCTAACACTCTCTTTTCAGCTCCTTCCTCCTTTTGACAGTGAGCTGTGCATATGAAGGGCAGGCTGGCCAAGGCTTTGCTGTGGCATCAGTAGCTGGTAAATAGATGAACTAAAAATTAAATTCAAGAAGCTAAATATGTAGTTCGGGAGAAGAAGGTGCTTTTGCACGCTTTTAAGTCACGCTGGGAAGTCTTCAGAACTGTGGAAAAATGAATACTGGGAAGTATGGACAGCTGTAGGGGATCAAGCAAGCCATCAAAAAGCAAGCCCTGGCCTTTTGCAGCTCCCCTACTGTCCAGGGACTTTGCGGCTTAACCCCTGAATTCTTGCTCTGTATTACAATGGGAGTTTGTTGGAAACTCCTTAAAAGAAGTGCAGTAGATTTACTATTGCTCCTTGTCTTCCCAAATCTCACCCATGGCAGTGTTCCAAATACAAGGTACTGGAGGGCACATGGGGTTCGTGCTGCTCCTCTCCCTACAGAGTTGTGAGACTATTACCAGTGTTCGAGTACATAGTTATGAATGACAACCCCATATGTGAGTGAAACAAGTGTGCTGAAGCAAATAGTGAAACTGGGAACAGCAGAGCCAGAGCCAATCCTTTGACATCTAGTGCCAGTTTATAGCTTGCTGCATCATTTCTGAGCTCTCACAAGGCAAACTTGCTGAATGAATTCGATGGCTCGTCCTCATCCCAAAATACATCTTTGCCATTGGATTTTTAATTTGTATTCCTTGTTCCTGATTATTTGTGAAGTTTCTTCATGAGATGCTTTCTGAGCCTGCAAAGGAAAAAGAAAACAACCAAAACCTTCCTGGGCAGCAGGTCCCTTTTAAATACTTTCCAAAGCCCCATGCTGGAAACTCCAGAAGAGTCTTACGGTTTTCATGGAGTAAGATAACGCGTGTCAAGTGAGGCAGGTATTTCTGTCTGACCAGTGTTCCTCTCAGTCCCCTGTTGCCATTGGCTCCCAGTTCCTGAATGTAAAAATTCAGTGATCCACTTGTGTTAAGGATTGATCTGATTCAGATCTGACTCCTGTAACTCCAGAGTTACTTTCATATCCCAAAAGGCTCATCCCAACTTTTAAAAAGATTTGAAGAATCCCAACTTTTAAAATTATCAAAAGGGTTATTTGCTCAACATTATGTACCTAACTGTGGTGATGTTATTAATCATGATATTTTGTCACAACGATAAGTGCAGTTCACCACTGACAGGAAAGTGGTATTTTAGTATTTTGAGAGATAACAGGATATCTGGATTTTGTGTACTAATACAACTTATAACATTAGATGGCTAATTATGCTGGCTTTTTCAGCTAATTATACATGCTTATGGAGTATAAACATAGAAATAAATGCATGCAGTTCAGGTTTTATATGTGTTTTTATACTACAGAAGGTTAAGCTGGTCTATTGCAGAGTAAGTTTGGAGATGACAGGCCCATATGCTGCTGCTTCTGGCTTGTTTCAGTCCAGATCCTTCTACTGTCTCTCACCAAATCATGGAAATCCCTGCAAACGTGGAACATGCTCTTCTTGGACTCCTAAGCACACAGGCTTCAGAACTGGCAGGAAGATGGTGTGCAGCACGTCCATCAGTGCACAGCTTGTAAGAGGAGCATGTGAAACAGCTAGCAGTGGCTCTGGCCAGGAAGGAGTGCCTCGCAGCAGGGAGCTGTCACGAGTACATTGTAGTACAATGTGTAGGAATGGCAGCAAGCAACAGTGCTTAAGGTGTGCTTTGGAGCTCAGTCTCTGAAAAGACAGTGTTGGTACTCAGCAAATCAGTGTGTTGCAGCCTTACGGTTGCCTGGAGTGCAAGACCTGTGTGGTGTTTGAGGTGGGTGGACCATGCTGAATGTCAGCCTGGAGTTTGCATTGCAGATGCCATGTGTTATAGGGTGCTGTGGGTCTTAGTCTTCTTTGCTGGGTACACTTATTTCTGGAGCTCAGGTATGATGCGATGAGGTACAGGGATCATGGACACAGATTGTCAGTTTATGTAGGAATGGAAAAGAGAATTTTTTTTTTCACTGCAGGGATACAGTGTTTAGTTAGAGAATACAGTTGAGAGTAGCAGCAGTTTGTTTTCCCTCTGATCTGGTAATTCTTAAGATTTCTGTAATTATTCTGATTACCTTTAGACAAGAGATCCTCTTACCTGTCTGCACCCAAGAACTGCTTGTATTTGCACTGTGTTGGCACTGTGCTTCTCAGTAGTATACTGCAGGAGGGACTTAGACTGAGGTATTTGTGGTCCTGAACTCTCAGCTGTGCTACACATTCTATTCTAAACTCATTCCTGTAGGATACCGAGCTTTCTGGCCCTAACCCAGTAAAGCACTTAAGGACATATTTAACATTAGGCATATGAGTAGTTTTACCATCTGCAGAGCAACTGCCCGTGCATTCAGAATTAAGCTTAAACTCAAGCACTTCACTGGATTGGAACTGAAGTGCTTCTGCATCCTGTAGGAAGTCATTGTACATTTGTAATCTCTTTAGCTTCACATTGCTACTTAGGCCAAAGTTGGTATTTGTGTTAAGTTTTGAAAATTAGTAATTTTTAAGATCCTTGTTTACCAACGTTATCAAAAAGTATGTGACTGCTACAGGTTCTGTAAAATTGCTGGTTATGAGAACTAGCTAACTCTGTTTTTGTTTTGTGCTGTAATGTGCACAAAGCATTTTATCCCTGTTGGACGTGTTTGTTTTTGACATAAACAGCACTGGACTCCCAGAGATGTGATCTGTAACTAGCAAGAGACAAGTGGTGTCTTCAATGAAACTACTCTGAAAACATCTTGCAGTTTTATATGCAGCTTGTTTTCCTCTGATCCACATATCTCTGTTTTTATTACATCTACTTACACACCCTGCTGAGTTGTATGCATTAATGGACTTGCTAGTACAGCCTGCATGTATGTAAGTGCGTCTTCTTCACAATTTCCTTAGTCAATAACCAGTTTTTCCAAATCTCATTCTCCCTTTCTTTTCAGAATGCTAACTGAGCACTAACAACCATTTTTGGTGGATCAAAGTTACGAAATTGAAGCTCCTTTAGCCAGTACATAGGAGGAATGCTGGAATTTGTCACAAACTTGCTCCAGTAGCTAGTGAGCTTTAAGAAGGCCTTTCCTCCTGAACAGGAGCTGCTGGAATCTCAGATCTCTCTGAGATCCCAGGACCTTGTAGATCACAGCCAAGCAGATGATTTGAAGTGCACAAATTAGAGAACATCAACAGAGGAGAGTCGTAGGGTGTTACCTAACCACAATGACAAATCTGGAAATTAGGTTTGCCATTTTAAAAGAGTTACATGGGAAAAAAAGGATACTACAATTTTTCAGGAAGAAAATAAAACAAAGTTTTAGACATATACCTGTAAGACAGAGAGGCTGCTGTAGTTTCTATTACAGTGTTCATTTTATGACATGCAAAGGCTAAGTAGCTGTGATAGCTACTGACTGCTGAACTGTCTTGGCTGGATTTTCGTCTGCTATTTCATGGAAGTAGAGACATACAATAGTCTGTTATTCGAATTTTTGCACTTTTCAGTGAATGATAAATATGTGGGTTGGTATATGCCTCTTAAGTTCCTGAGCATAGTTTGGAATCCTAGGACAAATTTTAGCTGGTATAGGCTCTAGTAAAATGAGATTTTGAAGTCAACAGAGTCACATCAGTTTAATCATAACCATTAATTTACAGGAATGACATTTGAATTTGTGTGGTAACTAATTCCAAAATGATTCATGGTCTTCTATATCAGAAAAGAATTACAGACTTCTAAATATCGTTTGGTATCAACATTGATCCTGTAATTAATTTTCTAGTAGTAAAGTCATCTCCTGTGTATTACCAGACTGCTAGTATTTAATCTGATGTTTGACAGATTTCTAGAGTTCGTGTTTCTAGAGTGAATATTTCTGTCAGAGTGAATATTTCTGTAATTTTCAGTTAATTCCTGTACAACATGGGAAGAAAGCCATTAGAGACTTGTAAACTCTTGGGTTGTCAACAAAAAGAAGAGTTACTGTTAGTCAACTGGCTTCACCAGGTGTTCTTAGCAGAAACTTTTGGGAGCCTGGTGGCTTTTGAAAAGAGGATTTGTTTCCTTGGGATCAAGGAATTGTTCAGGTTGGAAGGATCTTCAGAAGAAGTCTCCCGTCCAGTCCCCTACTTACAGCAGGGTCAGCTCTGAGGTCAGTCAGGTTTACTCTGGGCCTTGTCCTGTCAGATCTTGAAATCTTCAGGGGTAGAAACTGCAGAAACTCTCTGTAGAACCTATTCTGCTTAGTTGTCCTCATAATTATGTTGATGTTTTTTTATTTCCTGTCCACTAGAAACCTCCCCTGTTTCTGTTTATGTCATTATCTCTTGTTGTCCTACATAGACCTCAGTCAAGACCCTGGCTCTGTTTCTCTGAAATTGTCTCTTTTGTAGGCTGAACCAGTCTAGTTCCCTCAGCCTTTCCTCACAGGGCAGGTGCTCTGGGCTATGACCATCACAGTGGCCCACTGCTGAACTCACTCCGATTTATCAAGCTCAGCACTGTACTGAGAGTTGCTGAACAGTATCCTGACACAACTGAACATGTGCCAGGTGAAGGACCATAATAACTTTCCTTGCTTTATCTGGCTATTCTGCTGTTGGTACAGCCTAGGATGCTGTGAACCTTCACTGCTGCCTGGATTCACCATTTAGCCTACTGCCCACCAGGTCTCTTGTGTCCTTTTCAGCAGAGCTGCTCCCCAGCCTGTACTGTCACAGAGGGTTGATCCATCCCAGGAGCATGAATCTGTATTTGTCCTTGCTGAGTTTCCTGGGGTCCCTATGGGCCCATTCCAGCAGCCTGTCTAGGTCCCTTTGAATAGCAGCTCTGCACTCAAGCATGACAACTCATTTTTCTGTCATCTGCCAGCTTAATCCCAAAGCTTTCAGTGTCTTTCTCCAGGTCATTGATCAGATGTTGAACAGGACATGCCTCAGGACAGGTTTCCTGAGGAGCTCTATCAGTAACCAGTGTCTAGATAAAGTAAAAATCATGAATTTGTTAACCCTTTGAGTCTGATGATCCATTCAGGTTTTTTTCACCCATCCAGTAGTCCCTCTGTCTAAATTGTAACATCACAGCTTGGATACAAGGATGCTGGGGAAATGGTGTCAAGAACCTTGCTAACATCACAGTAAATTGCACCCACTTTTCTCCCCTCCTCCACTAATTGAGTAGTATCATCACAGAGGGCAATCTGATTGATCAGACATGATTTATCCTTGGTGAATCCATTCTGGCTTTTCCTAGGCACTTTCTTGTTGTGCCTAGAAATGGCTTACAAGAGGATTTACTCCATGATTTTCCCAGGGAAAAAGTGAAAGTGACCACTGTGTAGTTCTCCAGGTCAGCTTTCTTGTCTTTTTTTGAAGATGGGTGCAGTATTTGCCTTTATTCAGTTGATGGAGACTTCCCCTGATCTCCACAGCTTTTGAAATATGAGAGAATGGCCTCGCAGTGTCATCAGGCAGTCTCTGAGTGTATTCCTACAGATCCCTTCTGGTTCCCCTGAGACTTCTATAATCTGAGATATCTTAAGAGATCCCTAGCTGTATCTTACTGTACTGGTAGCTTTTCTCCTTGAACTCTTTAGGTATAAAGGACCACAAGACCTTACTGGTGAAGTTAGAGCCTCATCTGCATTCACTGTCCATAAATCACCCACCACTTCCTCTTGCTTTCTGCTAATACTTTGCTGAAGCTCAGTTGGATTCAAAGCCTTCCTTAATGAAGCTTGTTTTCCCTCATTGGTTATTGGGACACTTTATCAATTCTGTAAACTCAGATCTGAGGTCAGAAAAGGAGTGTTTCTGCTGCTGAAAGAAGTAACAAATTTCTTGCCTCCCCCATCGCTGCAGTCTTCATCAACCTCTTGCTCAAGCGTAGCCTCTGACTGTCCCTCTTGCCTTGCATCATGAGGCTCAAGATCTTGCCTCTTTAAGGTCTCTGATCATCCTCCCTGATCTTTTGTGATCTGCTTGCCTGTGATAGTTTGTCCACCTAGTATTGCAATGCAGTGCACAAATGTAAAAACCTCATGGAAATAAAATTTTGGAACAGTTCATATCCTCATTCCTTAGTCCTAATAAAGGCTCGTGGTGTGCACCAATATTTGACTTTGTTACCCTCTGATGTAGTAAGAATGGATGCAGGAGGTTGAGGGGTGGTGAAGTTAAGAAATGAGGTTCCAAAAGCTTTTTCCTTTTAGGAGAAATATCTGTGTATTGTTCCAGTGTTGACTGTTGCTGTATGCTGCTCAGAAGTCATGTGTCCTTTTGTATAGCTTCATCTGTTCATTCATACTGATACTCTAATCTTCTGTTTTTGCTTTTTGGCCAGCTGCAATATGTTGAGTGCTGCATGGACTAAAAACACTGCCCTTCCCTCTGAGGCACACAGTGTAAAATAACCAGGAGGAACTCAAGGTAGAAAGTATCTGAGTGAATATGGTTGCTACAGCTGGAATCATATGGAGATAAATCTGAAAATGAGATGCAAAATAGAAAATTAATATTAATAACTTTCATGCCAATAACTGAACAGCACAGGGGGGTGAACTTAAAAGCAAAATGTAAGTTAATGCATGAGATCTCTAGGCTTACCTGTGCATGTGAAGATTTTGGGAGACTGGGAACAGAACAGAAGTATTAAAAAGGAGTGATCAGATCCAGATCAAGTCAGAGCAGTATTGTCTGTTCCTTTGCTTTTCTTGTTTTTGTATGAGCCTCAAAATGTTACAGAATAGACAGATAGATGGTCGTGGAGACAGATGAGTCTTCAAATACGTAAGAAGTTTAGACTGTAAGTGCATTTTAAGAATGGATTTGGGTGTGAAAGAAAATACTTGGGAAGACCCTACAGTGCTGTAACCCCATTAGTCACAGTGGAAGAGGTAAAAAGGATTATTAAAAAAATAAATGCACATGGAAAAGGGGTGACAGAGGGTGAAAGCAGCAGCTGCACCCTGGAGGGAATGGGCAAGCTGGAGAAATGGGTTTCAAGAGAGAGAAGGCGATTTTTGTGGTGACTGACCACCATCTAAATTTCCTCCCTTCTTATCTGTATTATCTCAATGTTGCCTTGACCCTCCCTCTAGCAAACAGTCAAGGGAGGAGGCTTCCACACTTGTCAGTATTGGTTCTTCAGTCATATGAGGAGGATGCACTGATATGACATGAGTTATTTTACTAGTATGTGGGTCAAAATAAAATCTGACAGCAAAGCTTTTCAGAGACTGTGTGAGTCCTCCCCTCTTCTGTGATCTTATTGTACAGAGCCTGCGAGTAACCTCGAGTGACTTATTTTCATTACACTACTATATGGTGTGCTGCAGAAAAAAAGAGAAAATCCTAATTCTGGTGGAAATGAAAGCCTGGAAGCTTCACCTCGTCACTCATCCTGAGTGAAGGCTCACTGTGTGCAGCAGTGCTGGAGTTTTATTACCTTCTGATCTAATAAACAAGTGGCTTAACTTTTTCCACCTTAAAATCTTGCCGTTCACTCCCTCTCCCCACCCCACATTGAAGACAAACCCCATGTTACTGGAGTCTCATGCCTACATGGGTTTTACTGAAGTTCTGTGCCAGTACATGGCAGTTTCTGTGTCTTCTTCATGCTGTATGAAAAAAATAATCTTCAAATATGGAAGTTAATCAAGTCTCTTTTACTCCAAGTGGCTGTTCTTGAAAGCTAATTAAAATAATTCATCTGACTGAAAAATATTTTAATTGACTTAGGACTGCAGCTTAGAAAAAATTATTTCTATGTGGAAAGGCTTTTTGGGGTTAAGCCAGGATCCTAGCATGCAAGAGAGTTGAATTCAGCTGTCACTGTGTTTGGATTCACTTCATAACCTTGAAAAATGCCTTCACCTATCTGCAAAATGTCATGTTTAGTGGTCCATTCTCATACTTTATTCTGTTCATTAAAACAAAATAAGTTCTTGCACTCAGAGGGTTCCTGGAGGTTTAGAAATCTGTCTTGAGGCTGAGACTCTGGGACTTGTAAGCTGACCTACTGATCTTGTTCCCAAGGGTCTGGTCCTACCTGAGCTATTCTCCCCCTCTACTCCATGCCTGGTGCTCTGTTGTGCCAGCGCTGGTGTCCATGCAGCCTCATGTTCATGTAATGAGGAGAATGATTCAAATGAAAATATATGTAGGTAGGTAAATGGATTTACAGACCCATTTTCTAGGCACATCATTTCCTTAACTAAGCTTATTGGAAAGCATTATACTAATAGAGGGGAATGGGGAGATGGATCTGTTTGAAGAGCAGGTGGGATCACACCTTTGGCAGTATCTGCCATGGAGGTTGGTTTAAAGTAATTACAAAACTGCAAAACTGAAGTACTGCTTGCTAAGGAGATATCTGAGCTTGTAAGGAGTTTGAGGCAGAGACCACATCTCACCTGGTGAATGACCTTATTCTCACATATTAGGGCTTCCTTTCAGCACTTGATGGTCTCCAGTGAGGGTTATTTTGTTTGGTCTTTCCTTCCACAAGATGGATTTCCTGCATGGTGTTTTCTTTCACAGGCTGCTTATGTGAGTTTGTCACTTAACTTCTCCAGCTTGGATGAAGAATTGTAGGTAACATGTTGATTTTGAAGTTCACGCAGACACATTTATGTTTTTCCTGAAATGAATTTTATACTGCTTTGTCTCATTTCTATAGTTACACAGTAAGCAAGTCTCAACTTCCTTTAGTGTAAAGCAGGAAACCAGAAAGGGGAGGATGAAGCTCCACATTTTCTGACACACGCACACACACAAGTTCTGTGTGTTTTAAGTACCTCCTTTCTCTAGAATATTCACATGCCTTTAAAAGTGGTTGCTGAGTGTATCTGTAGCCTTCATGGTAGGTCCGGTCAGGTGAAGGCAACGCATGGCTCTGTTGAGAAGAACTGGCAATACAGAATGAGCCCAGGGCATTATGTCCCAAAAAAAAAGGGATGTTCTGCTGCAAAGTCTCTTGCTGCTGTTAGGGCAAGTCTTTGTGTCACTGAGGTCAGTGATTTAGTTGCAGTAGACATTACCTCTATAGCAGAGATGAGCAGTTACCAGATATATATATAAAAAAGGAAGTTTCATGTGCCATTTCCAGTTATATGCTGCTCTAAAACTGTGTCAGAATTAAAATGTTACCCAAAGTACTGTCTTCTCTGAGAACCTTTCCAAGGATTCTTCTTTTTCTTAATGTTTTGCCTTATAGGTTTTGTAATAGCTTTCTTTTATATCTGACTTTCAGGAGGTGCAATCAATCAAGAAATTACCTACCTTGATTCACTCTGGATTAGTGGCTGTTTATGGCACTGTTGTTTTGAATCAGATGGTTCTCTTTTTGGGAACAGAAGATGGACAGTTACTGAAGGTAAGCTTAGTGTGGCAGTTCTTCAGTTCTCCATCAGCTCCCGTGCTGTTCAAGTAGGTAAATGTTTCCTGGTTTAGGCGCTGTATTATGAACAGATATAATCCCTGGAATCTCTGTTTCTTTTTTGTTTGTTTGTGAAGTAACTGCTCCATTGTTACTTGGGAAGCAAGATAACTTTCAAAAGCAATTATGTACCCTGCTTAAAATGCAAGGAAACATTTCATTAAACTGCTAATGCCCGCAGTATCAATTTATGGATTGTGGAGTTCTTGGTTACTGTCTTTTGTTTCCCTCTTTGCTTTGAATTTCCAGTAGAAATACTAAATATTGCTAGATTTTGGGATCATATTTACTTGTTTGTTAGCTTATCTGTGTGATGTGATTAGCTGTCAGAGAGAAAAGTCAGGATTCGTTTCGCCATAGCTTCTGGATAGTTGGCCCACACTAGCTTAAATCAATCACCTGGAAGAGAAAGTCATACTTTCTCGTTATCAAACTTATCCAGTAAAATGTCTTTTATGCTTTAATTTTCTTCTGGGTTTTGCATTTCTTATCTACACTGAAGAGGACGACTCTCATTTTTTGTTATTAAGCAGGCAGTTGAAGAGAAGCATAATAGAGAGCTTGAAAAGCTTTTGCCCATTTGATTTCACTGTGCTTTTGGTAATGGAAAATGAAATAGAAGTCTTCTGTGTCTCTTTAGCACAGTGGAGACCTTGTACATATCTCCCTTGTTTAGGCATGTTTATGGAAAAGTTTACACTAATGTTGGTGTGCTTATTAACTTGCAAAATAGAGTGGTCTCTGGTTCTCCTGAATTCTTTATGAAGGGTGATGGTAAACTCTAGAGCTGGTCAAGGTAAGCAAAACAAATACCACCTTAGAAGTGTACTCACAGAAGCCACGTCTTGACAACAGTTGTCAGCAACTTGTGTAGGTTCCTTTTTACATTATGAATGTCTGGATGTTAATTTGTTTTCTGAAGGCTAGTAGTTTCTGCTCCATTCATAGGAATACTTAACACATTATGACTAGGATGTAGTGGTGTCTTCCACATTCAGGTTCTATGTCAATCAGGAACGTATTTGATGGGAGGGATGTTTCATACACTAACCCAGTGCCAGCTCCAGTGCCAAATGTGCCTGGCATAAATTTTGTTGAAATTCTGTTCTGGTGGTCTTTTCCTCCAACTTTCAGCAGTGTGAGAGCCAGTGCAGTAGGTGAATTAAATCAAGGCACAGTAAATCATCTCAGAAGTTCTGATGTAGCTGAAATTTTGCTTTTATTTAAGATACTGACTGATCAATAAAAAGACTTGTGAATAATCTGATTTCATGTGGTTTAGGCTATTCTTAATGAGGATATGGAATCTAATTGCCCAGAGGTTTTATATGAAATTAAGGAAGAAACCTCCGTTTTCCCCAAACTTCGTCTTGATCCAGTAGATAATAACTACATCTATCTGTCCTCTGCCAATAAGGTAAGTACAATGATAAATAAAATAATAAATTCAAGTAAAATACTGCTTTTAAGGATTTCTGCCACTTTATAAGTTAAGCATCAGTTTGGGTTGGAGTTAGACCATAAATACCCAAACTGCAGTTACGAACTTTACATCAAATACCTGGTTGTGTTGTCTAAGTTCAGGCTGCACTTCTGCAGAGCTCAGAAGAGCCTCCACTGTCATGGTCCTTCCCACTGTTGCAATACCCTTAATCCCATGCTTACTTTAAGTCATTCTGTTGAGAGAGCCTTTGTTTCTTTTTTCTGGAGTTATGCAAGCAGAACTTTTGGACCCTTTGGAGACAGAGTTCCTTTGAATTAGCAATCCAGGTATTGGTAGACCAGGGTTTAATAGTCAGTTATGGAGGTTCTAAGGTGAAGAAATCTCTTAATCTGAGAGATGAGTTTGAAGTATTAGTTCTGCTGAAATCAATGACAGAATTTTCATTGTCTTCAGTTAGTCATAGACTTTATGAAACCAAACCAAAACAAAAACTCAATCAGAAGTGATTAATGTGTATGCATGTGAGCAAAAGCATCAGAGCTGCATCTCAAGCAGAGTGTGGCACCCAGGAGCTGATGCAGCTGTTGCAGCACATCCTGCAGCAGGGCTTATGAGCATCAACTCAGCAAATTCCTTTTGTCTTGGCAATAACAGGGAACATGGCATGGAAACCATAAGGACTGACTGTGTGTTTTAGCTGGAAAGGATTTCATGCAGCACTTGATTACCTTTGTTTACAATAAAATCACTCTTCCAGCAGTGAACATAGCATTTCAGCCTGCTGTCTGAGAGAGTGGGTGGGTTGGTAGGAGTACTCCTGACTGATAAAAAACATCTATCACAAATGCAGAAGGGATAAAAAATTCAGTCAAAAGTATATGTAGATACTCAAAGTAAAGATTTGAGGTTTCTTTAGCTTTGGTAAAAGAGCAAGTTGTTACAGAGGAACAACAGCTTTTAGAAAGAAATAACTCCCTCTGATCATCTCTTGGAGCTTAAATAAGGCTTCTACACTGTCTATGATGTTGGCTGGTTTCTGAACTGATTATCTCACCCACCTTCAGATAAATAGAATTTTACAAGATATGGCTGGAAAAAACAGTAAATATAGTTCTGCAGAAGGCCACATATCCTATTTTCTCTTCACAAATAAAAAGTACCTTTAATTCTTGCAAATTTGTAAAAATTGTTTGAATTAGGAATATTTTTCTTAATAATATTATTAATGAACATTGTTATTAATTGTTATTAATAGCTTTATTTGCCTTTCTATTCAGTATATGTAATCAGCTTTCTCTTTTTCTTTTTTTCTTTTTCTGAAAATGGCTGGCTAGGATATTCAAGCTGAATGTACAAGTATAGCTATATATAATATAGACACAATTATCTACATTTATTTTTGAGATGGCATTTTCATGCATGCAGAGCAGTTGCATGAGTTTGCTCTTGTGTGCACATGCAGTTACCTGACATGGTGATGCAAACACAGATGCATTTTGTGTTGCGCATGCATTTTTGGATGCACCTTCATCAGTCATTTAAAAATCTCAGTTCTGATGAGAGGAAAACGCTGTTCTTCTAAGCAGAACATTATTTTTTAAGTGTACCTCCTTTTGTATTGTTATCTATAATTCACTATGCTAATTAGTCTTTCCTGCATTACTCTGCTCATGCTGGCCTTGTCATGGGCAGAGGAGTTGCATCATCTAATGGCAAAATACAGCGTGTGTAAAATAGGCTGCATATTTCTATCCAAAGGTCTTCTGGCAGAGGGGAGCCCATACGGAAACTTTTTAGAAGGGATTGTGCTTGGTTGCTGCAAGACTTTTAATGGTAACCCTCCATTTCCCTGTTTGTGGAGGCTCTTTTAATTCCATGTGTTACTACGTTCTCTGGGTTTAGGTGAGAAGAATTCCAGTGGCCAATTGCAGCAGATACACTTCAGAGCAAGAATGCTTATCTGCAAAGGATCCCTACTGTGGATGGTGTTCCTTGAATCAAAGGTATTTTTTTGTATTTTAGACTTGCATATAAAAGCAATGCATTATTATTCAGTGTACATTTTGACTCTCTAGGGGCTATTCAGTATCAAGATTGTATATACTGACTTTTTATGGAATAAAATGTGATGTGAGACACTATTGTCATGTGAAAGGGATCTTTGCCTTTTTAAGACCATGTTAACCCTCAGCTTTTTGAGATCTATCCCTAAAATATATGTTGGACTGAAAAAAAATATATATATTTTTTGGTTTTAGAACGGATGCTTTTGCTTTTCAAAATGATTGAGATATAACTGTATGCTTGTGCTTGAAGCTTTTTAATAGCTAGAAACATCTTGCATGTGAGAACAGGAAAAGAGCTCAGTTGTTTTCAGTATTCATAGCTCTTTGCTTTGGAAGCTCTGCCTGTGCTTTAGGCCTGAGGAGAACTTCTTTCCATCCTCACATTTGAGTCAGTGGTTTTGCTACTTTCCTTGAAGCAAGTTTGAAAGATGCTGTATGTCTTTGGCCTTGACTGGAGAAATTAATGGGTCATGAATCCTAGTCTTGGCAATTGCAACCAGCCACATCATGTAAACATACTCATAAACTAATCAAGGAGAATCCTAAATTTAGATAGGCTTTTTTTGTCCTCCCTGCCCTTGTTGCATGGCTATCTGAGAGTCTCATTGTTCTGTTAAAATCTTATCTCCTTACTTTCATCATGTGTATGTTTATGGACTCATTATACTCATTTGTTCTGTTGCTCACATTGCTTTGGCTTAAATAGGTTTTCTGCTTCCCTCACACTTAACTCCTCAATGCTCTTGTGAAAGCAGTTGCTTTTTTCACTTTAATTTTGGTGTTCTAAAACAGCTAACTCAACTAAGAACTTCTCACATAAGGCACTCCTTTCTTAACCCCACTCCGGTAGCCCTTCTGTGAGGTTTATGTATCCTTTCAAAACAAGGATGGCGAGGACTGTCATCTGTGCTTTGCTTATTGGTGTTTTAATCAGTCTGTCCTGGAAGCACCATACGTGGTGTGTCCTGGCATCACAAATGTCTTTTTCATGACTGCATCACATTGATGGGCTACAATTATCCGTGATCAAATAATGCCCCCAGGTCCTTCTGCTTCTTTGTTTTCTTTCCAACTGATGAGTTTCCAGTCTATAGCACATATGGGTTGTGAGATTTTTATTGCTCTAGGTACATGGTTTTCTACTTTATGCTTTGAAATGTCCAATTTCAAGGTTACCCAAGTTTTCCTGTGATATCCTCATCCTTCTCTGCATGATGATAATCTTCACAACTTTGTATCATCAGCAGATGTCAACAGTGTAAACCTTCTTTTTTGCCCGTTCATCAGGGATTATAACATTAAACAGAAGTGGTTATAACATTGATTTTTTGAGGAATTCCACTGGTGGCCCTCTTTTAGAAGGTTAACGCTACCCGTTTTAGTTGTTTCAATGTTAATGTGATTTTACTGCAGAACTGCTACTTTGTGTTTGCAAAGGTAGGTACTAGAAGTGAGTAGCTGTTAAGACTTTGATGTGTTTTCTTCAAATGCTCCTTTGCTACCTTGTTAGAAATTGTATATGTTACAGTACTAAAACTTTCAGTTACCTCATAAAGAGTTTTCGAATAACAGTTATTAGTAAGTCATAGAATCATAGAATCATAGAATCTTAGGGGCTGGAAGGGACCTAGAGAGATCATCTAGTCCAACCCCCCTGCCAGAGCAGGGTCACCTAGAGTACATCACACAGGAACTCATCCAGGTGGGTTTTGAATGTCTCCAGTGAGGGAGACTCCACAACCTCCCTGGGCAGTCTGTTCCAGTGCTCTGTCACTCTCACAGTAAAAAAATTTTTTCGGATATTCACCTTGAACCTCCTATGCTCCAATTTACACCCATTACCCCTTGTCCTATCACTGGTAATCACTGAGAAAAGCCTATAAGTCTCTCTGAATGGCAGCACAGCCTTCTGGTGTGTCAGCCACTCCTCCCAGCTTAGTGTCATCAGCAAACTTGCTGAGGGTACATTCTATACCCTCATCCAGGTCGTTGATGAAGATGTTGAACAACACCGGTCCCAGTACCGACCCCTGTGGGACTCCACTAGTCACACACCTCCAACCAGATTCTGCCCCATTGACTACAACTCTCTGACTCCTTCCTTTCAACCAGTTCCTAATCCACCTCACTTCCTGATCACCAAACCCATACCTGATCAACTTTTCTACAAGGATGCTGTGGGAGACGGTGTCAAATGCTTTACTGAAATCAAGATAAACCACATCTACCGCTCTACCATCATCTATCCACCTAGTAATTTCCTCATAGAAGGCTATGAGGTTAGTCAAACATGATTTACCCTTGATAAAACCATGCTGACTGCTCTTGATGACCCCCATGTCCTTGATGTGCCTGGAGATAGTGACAAGAACAAGTTGTTCCATCACCTTTCCAGGGATGGAGGTGAGGCTGACCGGTCTATAGTTACCCGGGTCCTCCTTCTTGCCCTTCTTGTAGACTGGAGTGACATTTGCTATCCTCCAGTCCTCAGGCACCTCACCTGTTGCCCATGATTTACTGAAGATGATGGAGAGTGGCCTAGCAATGACCTCCGCCAGCTCCCTCAGCACCCTTGGGTGCATTCCATCTGGACCCATTGATTTATGGATGTCCAGATTACTCAACTGATCCCTAACCCAATCTTCATCTACCATGTCAAACTCTTCCTCTATCTTGACCTCTTCTGGGGCTATATGAATCTGGGGCTCATAGGGAGACCCTGCAGGAGTGAAGACAGAGGCAAAGAAGGCATTCAGCACCTCTGCCTTCTTTATATCCTCTGTCACCAGGGCTCCCACCTCATTCCTCAATGGGCCAATATTGCCTCTATTGCTAGTTTTGCTAGCTATGTACTTGAAAAAGCCCTTTCTATTATCCTTAACCTGACTTGCAAGGTTAAGTTCCAAGGAGGCCTTAGCTTTCCTAATTGCCTCCCTACATCCTCTGACAACAGTCCTATATTCCTCCCAAGTGACCAGCCCCTCCTTCCATGATCTATAGATTTTCCTTTTCCACTTAAGTTTGCCCAGTAGTTCCTTCTTTAACCATGCAGGTCTCCTAGCACCCTTACTAGATTTCCTAACCATTGGGACACTCTGATCCTGTGCTTGCAAGAAGTGGTCCTTGAATGTTGACCAGCTATCTTGAGCTCCTTTATTTTCTAGCACCCTGTCCCATGGGATTTCCCTTAATAGATGATTGAGGAGACCAAAGTTTGCCCTGTGGAAGTCCAGGGTTCTGGTCCTGCTGGGTATTTTGTTCCTTCCACACAGGATCCTGAACTCCACCATCTCATGATCACTGCAGCCAAGGCTGCCATTGACCACCACTGCTTCAACAAGGCCCTCCTTGCTGGTTAGTACAAGATCCAGCAGCGCTCCTCTTCTAGTCGGCTTGTCCACCATTTGCATTAAGAAGTTATCATCAATGCATTGGAGGAACCTCCTAGACTGTGAAAGGCTGGCTGTGTGAGTCTTCCAGCAGATATCAGGGTAGTTGAAATCTCCCATGAGGACCAGCGACTGTAGTTGTGAGGCTGCTTTCAGTTGCTTGTAGAAAGCCTCATCAACCTCCTCACCTTGATCAGGAGGTCTGTAGTAGACCCCCACAACTGTGTCACCCGCACCTGCTTGCCCCTTAATTCTTACCCACAGAATTTCAACATGCCCCTCATCAGCCCCTGCATGAAACTCAATACATTCTAGTTGCTCTCTCACATAAAGAGCAACCCCACCACCTCGCTTCCCTGCCCTATCTTTCCTAAAAAGCACATAACCATCCATGGCCACATTCCAGTCATGTGAGCTGTCCCACCATGTCTCTGTTATTGCTACTAGATCATAACCCTTAGCCCGCACACAAACCTCTAACTCCTCTTGCTTGTTCCCCATGCTGCGTGCATTAGCATACAGGCATTTCAGGAAACGAACAGAGCACACTGGTGGGACTAAATCCTCCTTGGACGACCTGACTTTGGGCCATGGTGTGTTCCTCTTGTGCTTGTCCCTAACAGGCCTGGTTTTCTCCCCTTCCCCCTTCACATCTAGTTTAAAGCTCTATCAATGAGCCCTGCCAAGTCCTGCCCCAAAAGCCTCTTCCCCCTCTGGGACAGGTGCATCCCTCCTGCCACCATCAGTCCAGGTGCCTCATATAGCATCCCATGATCAAAAAAACCAAAACCCTGGCTATGGCACCAATCTCTTAACCATTCGTTGACCTGCAAACTCTTCCTATATACCTCCCTACCCATTCTTGCAGGAGGGATGGAGGCAAACACTACTTGCGCTCCAGACCCCCTAACTAGCTGTCCCAGGGCCCTGAAGTCTCTCTTCATTGCCCTTACATTTCTTGTAATAATTTCATCACTGCCAACCTGAAAAATCAGCAGCGGGTAGTAATCGGAAGAATTCACAAGATTGGGGAGTTTCCTTTTAACATCCCTAATCCGAGCCCCAGGGAGGCAACAGACCTCCCTGTGAGATGGGTCCGGCCGACAAATGGGCCCTTCTGTCCCCCTCAGAAGGGAGTCACCCACCACAATTACTCTCCTTTCCTTCTTGATTGAAGAAGTCCTAAGGACTCGAGGTGACTGATGAGTCCTAGGCACCTCGCTAGGTAAGTTTATCCCTCCAACTTCATTTTCCTGTTCCTGAATTTCCAATGCCTCGTATCTATTCTTCAAGGGCAACTGAGAGGGTGGAAGGGGTTGGGAGGATTTTTTCTTGCCTCTTCGAGGTCGAACCTCCTTCCATTCCTTAATATCTCTTAAGTCCTCTCCATCTGCCTGGTGACAGGAGGGGAGAGGATCCGTCACTTGCCCAACGTCTTCTATCTGCCCCTGCCTCAGGGTTTGACTCCACCAATCTATTTCACTTTCATATTCTCTAATGGCCCTCAGTCTTGCAACCTCCTCTGTCAGCTCAACCACCTGCCTGAGGAGATCATTTACTTGCTCACACCGCACACATGCGCTGTCACTGGTTCCCTCTGATACCAGTGCCAGACTCAGGCATTCACTGCAGCCAGAGACCTGCACTGCTGCGTGCCTGCTTGGGAGCTCCATCTGAGTCCCCACATTCTTTTTCACAGTGGTTTTTGGCCGTGTTGTGACCATGATCAATCTAGTTACCAGTCTGCTTTTCCTAGGATGAGAAGGCACCAGCTGCTCCCTGCCTGCCCTCGCGCAGCTCTCTGCCTCTCCGCCTGCCCTCGCGCCTGCCACGTGTCTCCCCTCCGCAGGCCGCTGCCGCTGCTGCTGCCGCTCTCTCTTCTGCGCTGCCGCGTGCTCCCCTGTTTATGAGGGGAATCACCAAAAGTTTCCATTCAGTTGAAGAGGAAATAATTTACCCTTCTGGAGAAAAAGGAATTAATCTAATATGAATCCTGTTCAACACTGACATATTTTTTTACTGGTCAGCACTTAGCATAATTAAATATTTGGTTTTGCTAAGAGAGAGCTTTGAGTGAAACTTTAGAAAAAAAACGAAGCCATACTATTGCCCAATATTTTAATCTAAGTCCAACCATGTCCACTAAAACAATATATTCCATAATAATGTTGAGATCAATTATATGTTTTATACTCTTACATGGAAATACATTTTAGATTAAATATGCACTTCACTTTAAAAATAAAACATGGCAGCAGTGCTTCAATTTAATGACAGTGTGAACTCAAATCCAGTATTTTGATGAAAAAATCTGCATGTCCTACTGCAGGTGAAAACAAAATTAAACAAAGTGTTTCTGTTGTTCCTATTTCTATTCATTCCTCCATGGGAACAAATATATGAATTTTCCTTTTCACTTACAAGAATTCAAAACCATTAATCATAACATTGTGTGATTTCTCTTAATGTGTATAGATTTTCTATAGATGAATCAGATATACCTGAAGTAGGTTGAAATTATTCCAGTATAAGGCACTGATGTTTTATATGTATTTTCCATATGAAAATAACACAATATGTCTTAGTTATCTGACATGACCAGACTTACTTTTGAACTTGGTCAGTGTTTGTGGTATCTATGGACTTCATTCAGGGGCTGGTACCTTGGAGAAGGAAGACAAAACTTCCTCTGAAACCGTGTTCTTGTTCCATGAAGAAAATCAGTATGGTTTAGCCAGGCAGAGAGGGAAAACTTACTAGGATTTGTAGTTAATACAAGGTCAGTGGAGCAGAGAATTAAGTAAATATGAATGAGTTGGTATGCATAGGTATTGTGTTATCATAATGAAATAAGGGGAACTTGAGTTCAGCTGTCAAGACAAATCTTTAGTAGTATAAAGAACTAGCTTGCTGTGAAAGATTTAAAAAAAAATTGTATATTGACTCTGCTTTTCTCTGTACACATATCCATTCATGTATTAAATCTGATCCTAAGATTTCATACCAAATACCTTCATACTTGTGTAGTGTTTGACCCAGTTCACCTTTCCAAGAAACCCAAACTCCAGAAACTTTCTGCTACTTTTGCAGCACGGGTTTTTTTGCTTTCTTAATAGTTGTCTGAGTCTGTATGTTAATTTTTAGGACCATATGGTTCATAAGTAATATTTATCTGTTATACTCATTCCAGTGTGCTTGCAAACAATATCTGTTGTGTAAAAATAGGGATATAACAAAATAATCTCATCTTTAAGTCAGTGGAATTCATGTTAGTCTTGGCCTGTGCAGGGCAATTGTGGAAATTTATGATGGAGAGCGTCAGATGCTGTACATCCCTCCTGTGCCACTGCTTCCAATACAACAACCATTCTCCACACCACATTGTTTGCGTGTTAAAGTTCAGATTTTAGAGCAACAAAAGACCCATTTTCCCTGGCATGAAGACAAGCACGACCCTGAATCCTTAGTGTCTGTTTTGGTTTTTTTTTCACTAAACTTTCAAATTCTTCATTGCAGTTGGTGGTAACAAGTTCACTACTTGTATTCTTCAGGCAGTCAAAGGCAGCAAATAACTTTGTCCTAGGACAGTTTTAAATGCTCAGCTTTATAAACAGTTTTCTTTTAAAATATTTTAATATCCAAATCATTGAAATGCATACACTTATTTACTGCCAGGTGTCACAAGTGTGTTGCCTTGCATCTTCAATGTTATGATCCTCAGCCTGTCAGAAACTATAGGATGTCTCTCATGCATGCATCACTACCAGTGAGAGTTAACTACCTGTACATATCTGAGCATCTGGCTTATTGATGAGATATTGATGAGAGAGCCCATCCTCTGTGGTTCCGAACCTGTGGTGCTGATGGACTTCCATCATCTCAGTAAGGTGAAGAGAGATATAAATGAGACTGAAATTTGTCCTAGTTCAGACAGTTTGAAATAAGTCAGGCATAGTCCCAGTTTTTTACAATATAGTTATTATCTGAATGTATTCAGATGCAATGCCCCACCAGGTTCTTGTGCAGCAGGAACTCAGTTTCCTGAGCTAGACCACAAAGGAAATGACCTTTTGCTTAACTGCATTCCAGTTGCCAATGTCTTGATCTACATAGAAGGGGGCTTTATGGTTTCTATGGTTTGTGGGGCTTTTTGGGGCATTTTGGAAAGTGGTGAATGTTTTTCTTGAAAGTCATTCTTGTGTTACTCCTTCTGGAAAGAAAACACATTGTTTGTGAAATACATTTCTACAGTGAACTCCTCATGAAAAAGGCCCATGCTTTGCAAGTATGGGTTACTTTCTGGTTTTTAGTGAAGGAATATTTCATTAAGACACATGTCACTGATCACATGATTAATGCTATACATGCTTTACATTTGGTAGAAAAGTAGTAGTATTAAAACAATATTAAATTTATTTATACATATTCCACCTTAATATTAAAATATGATTATATGTGCAGTTAGCACTTATTTGTCTTTAATTGCTAGCTATATGAAATTGCTACCAGTTGATCTATGGATTACTCATTAGCTGTTCACAGTAGACAGTATTTTTAGGATTCACCTTTCAAACTCATTGATTTTTACGCTTTTTTGTCTTTTTCTTATAACATATTTTCAGTATGCATAATCTTTGTAGTACTTGCATATCCTGGTTTTTCCTCACTCTTCCTTGATTTTCCATTGTGTATTTTCTGTTTCCTACAATTTGGCATCTGTAAAATTTTTATTTACTTTGTGCCATCCAGCTTCTGAAATGGGTTCCTTAAGACAGAGAATTAGATTTTGAACTGCCTTTTCACAACTGGTGTTTTTAACCAAGTGCACTGATGTACAAGGGAAGGATTGCCATTCACAGCAGTTGGATGGCAGAGGAGATTAGGAATGAGGATGGATCTCATCAGCTGTACACATTCATAGCATAGCTCTACATCTAAGCTTCACCTCGTCTCCTTTTACTCTTTCTGGAGAAAAGGAGCAGCTTGTATAGTGTGATTCATTTCATTTTTGTATGAATGTCTAAAATAGGTGAGAAGAATTGCACCCTAAAAGAGCTTATTTCTCTCCATTGAGTGTGGAGGGAACTGGGGGGGTCATCTGTACAATGGAGCAATCAAATGGAGCAATCAAGCTGAAGATGATGAATTTCATCCCAGGCTACCAAGTCCACTGTTACTGGTCAAGCATCTAATATTTGTTTGAGTCCCATTGACTTAATCAGGACCCTAGAGCATATATCAATGCATTGTAATTTATTTTGATAAGCAGAATATTTTACTGATTGTTTTCCTGAAGCTTTATGCACTTGTAGCCATATTCCTGTAAAAAAAATCAATAGTGTTCCTGTAAAAAATCAACAACATTAAATAAGTTGAAGTACAATGTCTGAAGTCAAAGCCACCATAAGGAGGCTACTGTAATTTTATGTATACTTTTAGGTGCACATTAAAGGAAAATTGTACACATTCAAACAGCATAAACGGTTGGTATAACATTTCAAATGCACCTGATAAAGATCTGAAAATCCTGCTGAGTTTCCCTGCCAAAAATCAGGTATGTACACCCAGTTTTATGCATGTTTGTTTATTGTGATTTAAAGCATGGCATTTTGTCACTTACTGCAGCTTCCCTTCCTTTGTCACCATATTCTTTATATTAGTCTCTCTTATCTCAACAATTGGCAAATGTATTGGAAATCCCAGTAAGTTGAATGTGTCAGTCAGATACCTGTTACCTTCCTCTCCCATAAAGTGTATCCTGAAGCTGTATCTCATGATTCTGAGTAAAAAATTCACTATGCTTGCAAAGGCAACATTTCTGTTCTATTACTTTCATCAGTTATATTTCCAGTGACTATATATATCAAGTCCATTCTGTAAGTTCTGAGCTTTGTAACAAATTACAAAACATTTGCTGAGACACTTAAGCTAACAAAAATGTGTCTTTAAGCATTTGATACTGGTAATTACTCAGTATCTATTGACAGCACACACAGCCTTGAGTATTTTATTATCAAGTATTGTGACTGGCCACTTAATCTGCATGCTATTGTTTCTGATTTTCTGATTGAATGAACTGATGTGATCATATTTGTAAAGCACTCTCAGCCAGAAACAAAGGATAATTCATTCTAAGACAAGTTCTGTTTCATAATCAAGTGCACTTTGGATATGGATGCAAACATCATCTCTCTGCAAGGATTTTTACTTTTTTGCTCAAACATTTTTAAGGGGCAATAACAGCAGATAACACTGTTAAGGCAAAATTCTTGTTTGAAGATACAAATTTATTCCCTAACATACCTTACAGATCCAGCTAATTTCTGAAATTAAGGAATGCTATTCTTTTCAGGAGTCTTTCTCTATTGCTTCAGCTGGGAGAGGCTACCTAGTGAATTGTCTGCTTCTGCCACAAAAATTTTCAATTTCTACATTTTATAGTTTGTGGTTTTCTGCAAAGACAAGGTGTTGACTAAACAAATTTTACAAGAAATCTGTTGTATTCTTTTTTTATTGCTTTTTAGATTTCTGTGACTGCAAGTATAAGCACAATCCTTACTTTTTGTGTGATAAAAATTGTAAAACCTGTTGGAATATTTTATGAAAATGTAGTGCTGAAAAACTCATCCTGTCTCTGCAATCTGACCACTCCAGTGGTAACTGATAAAGGTATGTTTTGCTATTAGATGTATTTAATGCTTATGCACTGTCCTTTATTACTGAGGAGAACTGAGCATAAATACAGGCCTCATAAGTGTGAGAGTAGGTATTGCTTCTTATTAAATGTTGTTGAAAAAGAAAAGAAATTCCTGTTTTGTCAAGTGATTTGAGTGTACTCAATATTTTTTATAATTAAAGATTTGTTAATATGTAATCTTTTTTAGAAGTAATAAAACATGCTAACCTATGGCTAGAAGCAGCTTCTTCAGTTTGGCCTATAGCAGGGCAATCTCTTAGCATTAGGAGTATGTTTACATGGTGCTGTTGATTGCTGTCTAAGGAGACTTGAGATAGCTGCAATGATAATCAATCTGGCTGCAGCTATGGAAGCTGTGCTGGTCCAGTACTTTGCCTTGAAAAATAAGCCCATCTTAACCCTTCACTCATCTGCAAGCAGAATTTGGTTTTGCAAGAAACCATATTAGCATAAATGCAAATCTGACTATGAATGTTTGTACAATAAATAATCTTAACATTCAATTAACTGTTTCGACCTAACTTAGACACTTGTGAGAAAGTGACTTTCCCATGTAGAGGATTAGCAGAAAAACACATGGTTTAGAGGCAATTTGGCTGGCACAATTTGTGTTTGATTTGATCTCATTTGTTGTTCTGAACTATTGGTGGAACTGTTCTATAGTAATTCTTTCTTATACTACTTTGCTCACCAGTAGTTCTCAAAATTAGAGGCCTGAGCCATTAGACATGTAGCCATGTGTTAGACACATGATGCATATGATCTGTTTTGTGCATCTTGTGGACAACTGAAAGTCTTAGAATGAGGTGGTAAATTAGTGTCTAGACTTCTGAGCTGTTCTCCAGACTTCAGTCTCAAAGACCAGATGATAGTCCTTCATAGTAGAGTCTGTTTAGACTGATAGAGGAAAACATCCCCTTTGCATTGCTTCAAGGGTCTGTATAGAAGCACAAAGCTTTTTTCATGCAGGTTAAGCTTGTACCTTTTTAAAGTAGCTTATGTTAGAACACAAAATACAGTTTTAATCTAAACTGAGGGACAAAGATAGCAAAATCAAGGATACCATGTGCTCTTATGTGGCTTGAAGAGGAAACAGAAAATTCAAGTAAATGCCTGCCTTTATCTTTATCTGAGATAATATAGCCCAAAAAAACATATAAACTGATTCTCATTGTGATACCTTTGTGTAGCAAGAGGAACAAAAAGTTAACCAGAACTTAAAATGACCTGTTGCTCTGAAGAATCAGTGCTACAGAGAGCTGTCCCTCTCAGGGACTCTTGTCCCTGAAGGAGGTTCCTTGGAATATTTGGATCTCAGGAGCTCATCCTATGGCCTTTGTATGGGAAAAGCTCCTATGGCATCATACTGGTGTGTGTTGAATTCCTTTCCAATGTTGATTTGGGAATTGAGAAGACAAGACTTTGTCACTAGCAGGTGACAGTTAGGGTTATAGCCATGAGTATTCTGGTCTATTAAACTGTCTTTAGTAAATGCTGGTAGTGGATTTTTAAGAGGGACAAAAGCATTAGAGAAGAAAAAAATGTCCTTTATTGACCCATTCCCAAAAGCCATGTTTTTTATGATTATGGTGTACATGATCCTCAGTCTTCTTAAACTAAGGCTTTCTCTTACTTCATTGGCAGGTTTTCAGAGTATAGTGTTATGGAAGCTAGCTTGACTTGCCTGTGCTGTGTACAAAAAATGACACCCTGTGACAGTGTTAACCAGAAGGCTGTGAGCTTAACTTGTGCCCACCAGTATTACCGCCATTCACATGCTCCTGTGAGCTGAGATACATTAGTAGATAATGCAAGTGTGGAAGTTTTGTGACTGTTTATGGCACATCATGTAAAGTGACCTCTGTCTCACAAGAAGATGCACTTGCAATACTCCATCAGGTATCATTTTTGGAAAAACAAATAAAAATTTGAAAGTACCTGCTACTCAATGGAACCTATTGTTTTCTGCATGGCCCGGGCTGACCTTTCAAAATGCACTAGACTGCACTAATTTTGATGCAGACCAAATCAGGAAACCATATTAGACAGTGTTATTTGTAAGGTATTTATACAAACTTAGAAGACAAGCTCTGTCAGAAGGAGATAAATTCCTTACTCTTACTACTCCTAGTAAAATACTGTATTTCAGTAGCTTACAGCTTGAGGCCTAGGCAAGTGATTTAGGCAATTTTGTGCCCAGTGCATCAGATTTCTGCAGATACAAAGATTTCTGGAGATGCAAATAGGTGCTTGGTAAAGGATTTCAGAATATCCTTGTGCGCTCATCCACATCTTCAAGCATTAAAACACCTTTAAAAATCAGACTCTCTGCTATCCATTTAGTAAGGTATTTAAGCATACGAGCAGAGGCAAGGGCTGTTTTTAACAAGCAGTGCAGGTGACCTTTGCAGTGAGCATCCATGTGCCATGCTGACTTGTGAAGCTAGGAGATACTTCTGATTTAACAGTGTAGATGTAGGCAAAGCTGGTTTTCATCTGAACAAGCCAGCCTGTGATAAACACGAAACTTTCTCTACCTTTGCAAGGTAAGTCTACTTTAAATCTGTGTAACTTTCCTGGATTAAAAAGCTATCTACTTCCTAGCATAGAGAAGCCAGAAAAGTCTGTGCACATGGGTTTCATTTGATCTCAGACAGTCATTCATTTCATAGACATACACATCTGCAGGCACACAGATGAAAGGGATCATGGCTTAAGTGGTATATATCTAACTCTACTTTTCAATGTGGTATTCTGCTCATGGGAGAAGATACTCTTTCATTCCACAGCTGCCAGTGAATTGTTGGTATAGTAATTGCTAGCTGAAATAATGGCAAATTGACTCATGCAATCATAAAAGATTTAAATAGGATGAAAATTGCTACTGCATAGATTACAAAAGAAGACTCTGCAACCAAGTGTCTGAGACAGAAAGTGAGAGGAGTAAACTATGTTGGGGTCTCTCACATTAGAACAGTGTTGTGTTGCAAGGGTTGAATTCAGGGTCTGGCTGTGTTACACCACACCACTGTGTGCTCCTCGGGAGGTGATTTTATATCCCTGCTCCATGGTAGCATTTCCTTATCTGTATCCTGACAGTGACATTACTTTTGTATGTTGTGCAGTGGTGGCATCAAGCTTAATTAATGAGTGCATATAAATCTTGAAATAACTCAGCTGAAGAGTGTTGTGGAAGGACAAAATCTAGTTATTTTTATCAGTCAAAAGTGGGAGTGAATGTATGTATGACAAGGAGCATACCATGCAGAGAAGAGCTGAAAGCATGTGGGTTTTCAACTCGATTATTTTTTTCAGTTCTTTCTTGTAATATCTAGCACAAATCTAACAGTCACATTTTTCCAGATTGTCTGGTTCTTGAAGCATCGCTGTCCTCAAGCTCTTGGAATATCACACAAACATTTCAGTTGACAAAGTAAGATTCTTCTTCTTATTGAAGTTTATTGAGGGGCTTATGTGTGTGTGCAGGGAGGGGGACTGAAGTATGATAATTCTTTTTAATTATTATTTATTTATTAAGAAAATACATTCACTAGAGATAGTCAGATTCCTTTTATTGGCTTATTTCCTCCTTCTCCTCATTGTTTATTGTCCTTAGAAAGCTACTTCTTGTGATAACTCTTTTATTTAACAAGACCCTGGCAGCTAGCTGTCGGAGAGTCATTACAATGACTGAATTTATGACGAGTGCCTGAAGAGACAATGAAGGATGTCACAATGACAATAAAATCCTGTATGTCCTTGTGGAAAAGGTGGGCCCCTGGTACTGAAAATAAGACCTAGATCAAAGGAATCAAGAGATTCTTGTGAAAGTCACTTTGTGTAGCTATTATTTTTTTTTTTTAATTGAGCTGGATGCTATTTAAATGTGGTCCATGGGCAACATGAATACAATTAAAATAAAAAATAGCATATAATCTGCTAATAGGAATAATGAATACCTATTGTTCTGCACACATTATTTTTCAGAGCCACAGTCTTTGTCCAGAGCTTACAGTAGAAAACATTTGTGCTCAGTACGTGGCCTAACCCTTTATGAGAGGTGGTTGTTAAAACTTAGAAAGATCTGGCTAACAAATGCTGCAGGTAGCTATAGTGTTCCTGTTCAGAACTCTCCTCCTCTGTAGAAAGAGGCTAATTCATAGGCAACTGGGATGAAATTGAACTCCTGCTTTTCAGGAAATGGAGCATCACTTCCCTGCTCCTGGAGCAAAACAGGGAAGGAGCTGGTTTTTGCAAAATCAGAGCATTTCTCAGCATGCGTGGAGATGGCCTGTGCTGCTCTTGGCTCTCCTCCATGCTGATGGATGCATTGCAAAGCAAGATAGGGACAAACTAGTCTCCAAAAGGCATATTTCTTGGTAGGGGAAGGCAGTAGCAAACTAGCAATACTTGCTAGCGCTACACACACAAAACAGAAGTTCAGCCAAGCTGTGAAAAAATCGATTATGATTTTCTACCCTTTTCTGGTTAAAAAGCACTATCTGGCCACTTATGTACTGGAGAAAACCACAGCAGAGAGAAACCTGAAGTGTACTGTCTGCTTCATGCTTTTTTGGAAATGTATGACTCTCAGCATTTCAGCACAGATTGTATTTCATACTAAATTGCTCCTCAAAATAACCACAACAGAACAATAGGCTTGGAGGGTAAATGCAGGTAACGTGTTTTACACATTTTATTACATGTTTGCCAGGTTGTTCTCTTGGGTTGGTGTTTTTTTCTGTCACTTGAAATTTCACATTCATGGCTGAATCTAGATTGAGTCCCTGTGTCTTAAAAAACTCTGTTTTCTGTGTTACCAGCTGCTCACTTTGTATACACAAGGGCGAGTGTGCCAGCTGTAAAAGGACACGTGTCTCTCCTGCCACCACCTGCCAGGTGAAGTTTGCTGGGGAGGGCTGGAATCCCCCATGATGCCTTCTCCTTGTGTTTTTTATGTCGTGAACATCAATCTGTCTCTTCCTTGTCCTGACATGGAGAAATGCTGATTTTTTTCAGGATAGTTGCAATGCAGCCGCTTCCAAGGTGATCGCCACTGCGCAGAAAACAGAGGTTGGTTAGCATTTTAAGATCAGCATTATGGGGGTTCTGTGGGGTGGGGGAAAAATTTGTGTAAAATGACTTGACTTTGGAGGAGGATTTGAGATGTGGATGGGGAGGGAATCGGTTGGTTACATAGAAAGGCAATGCAGAGCTTGGATAGATAATACTTCTCGTTAGGGCTGTGGTGTTGCTTAAAAGTATCGACAAAGATTTGCATTTCAGATCCAGGCATTGAGACAGTGAACACTGCAAATAGTCATCTGCCTACCTCTAAATGCAGATTTTACAGTATTGCTTTAAATGCCAAAGCCCCTGTATGCTGTATTTAGGCAGTCCATAGGAGCTGGCATTCTGAGGACTGGGATGCATGAGCTGACCAACAACAAAAAAAGACAACAAAGGAGAACATCTCAGACTTAATCTCTTACCTAGATTTAAATGCATGTTAGAGTTCTCCTGGCAGACAACTCTGTGAAACTGTTTCAGAGTCTTAAACCTCTTTGTCATCTTACACAGCCAGATCACAGCTTCTTCTGAAACATAGCTGCCAGGGGAGCAGAAGGAGGGTGATGGTGTGCCACCTAATTTCTGCATAAAGGCAAGTTGCTAGAGGATTCATCCAGGAACTGAAATCCCTGGGTGTTAGTAAATCCTGGGTTTACACTTCCAGAAAAATTTTCCTTGCTTCCAGGCTATAAACAAAACTAGAGATGGAGTTACCCTCCGTCTATCCTACTCAAGCTGGCTCACTGGAGAGGAAGGAGTGTCGCTGGTGCCAAAGTACCTTCTGAATCTGGTTGTTGAATACTCTACTGAAATCATATAGACTGACTGTGAACGTGCATTCTGTACGGTTTGCCTCCTAGGCCAGCCCGTTAACCACGAAGTTATCCCTTCATTCTTTATGGTTCAAAAATAGTGGGTTTTTTTTCATAAAACTGTGTGATCTTGTCATCAGTGGTTGCTTATGACGCGCAGGTGTTAGGAAAGAAATGAGTAGTGAAGAGAAATTTGACTGATGAGTAAGTACATAGAGATTTGCTGCCTACACTTTTGGTTTCTGCTTTTCTGAGTGATAGCATGGTTGGTATAAATTGGTATAAATAGGTGTTCTTATGTCTAAATGTTTGGTTAGAACTACCCAAACTTTTACTGTGAGGACAGGAATTATCTCTTAAATTCAGCTGTTTGAATGAGGTTTCTTAAAGAAAACAAACAAAAAAAAAAAACACAAGAAAAAACCAACACATTGTTTTTTACAGAGATGGGTGAGATTGTAATATTTGTGCTTCTGAGCATTAATATTCTGGTTTTGGTCTGCGTATAAAGCATTATGGCTGGTGAAAGAACAGAGGAAATTCTTCTTTGCTCTGCTTCCAAGTGCATTAATTTTACATTGGTAAATACTTGGAATTGCCTGGGAGATGGCTTTCTTCCACACGCCTTATCTTGAAAAGACAGTGATGGACAAGGCAGTGAAAGCACCAGAGGCAGTCCAAAGGCAGATGTTTATTTAAAAGTGATTGATCCATTCAGAGGGCTTGAAATTGCATTTGAAATCCTGCTCTCCTTTGACTGCTGGTGTTTTAAGGAGAACCTGCTGGAGAGCTGAGAAGGAGGATTTGTGTTTTCTCACAATGCCAGCCTAGCATTTAGATTAATACACCTTTTTTTCGGTGGCAAATCCAGCTCTCCTTCTGACTGCAGTTGCTGGTTTCCATGCATACACCTTCCCCTTCCCTGTGCCAGAGCAGCAGCTGGAGTGGTTGTGTGAGTGGGCTTGTCTGGGGAACTGATTTGGCTGGAAATAACCATTTCTTTCATCTGATTCTTTTTCATCTGGGCCAGTTCCCTGATCTAGTTCTTCGCATGGCCTCGGGCTGTGCCAGAGCTGGGAAGAGCTCCCTGGGAGCTGGGATGACCTCCCCAGGGTGGCAGAGGCTGCTGCTTAACTTGGGCTGCTGCCAGATGTCTGGCTGAGACATGCTGCCATGCTTGCCACACCTCTGAGGATGTGGCTGCCACTGTTTACACAGCCCGAGGAAGCGTTAGGCTGTCCAGGGGATGGGGGACTGCAGCTCAGAAATGTGGCGCTCCTATTGAAGTTGACAGGGCTGTGCTGATTTACATTACCTGAGGACCTGGCCCATGATTCCTGTATGTCTCACTCTGTGTTTATGCCGCTTTCATCACATGCCTCACAACTAGTGATTTTTATAAATATCCAACTGCCTCTCTGCTGTCTCCTTTCCCTCTTGCTGCCGGGCATCTCCTACCCTGCCGCAGAGTGGTGGGAAGGTCAGCAGCTCTCTGGTGCTGGGGAAACGAGCCCCACAAACCCCCAGCAAGGACATTCAGTCCCTCCCACAGTCGGTGAGGAAATTCACACTTTCTTCTGCTGCCGAGGAAAGTGTCATGGACCACAGCAGTCCCACAGGAAAGCAGGATTTCAGGTAGCCGTGGCCAGCCTGCCTCGGGGCTGTGAGAAACCGCGCTGACACAGGACGTGGCGAGGGAGCCTCTGTTGTGAAGCCACGGGGAAGGCATGATTTCAGGGGAGGCTGAAACTTCCAGAGTAAACCATTCTTAGCCTCCATTTCTTCCTGGTGTAAGAGAAGAAACGGGGAAGCTAAGCTCATGTGTGGCACCTGGCAGAGAGACTGGTGCAAGGAGTATCTCTGCGCAGGGGGGTGCCTGGCAACTCACTGCCCTGGTGCAGCTCTGGGGGATCTCTGTGTGTTTGTCTGATGCTGTGTTAATCCTGTGCTTCAGGGATCCTGTCTGGCTACCAGTGAGAGACCCAGAGCAGCATTCTACTCCTTTCTGTAGTATTTGGCTTCTGAATTAGTGTGAGGATGTTGACTGTCTTTGGAGTGCTGGAAGTTGGGCAAAAGCAGAGGGATGGGATGTGAGTGGAGAAAAACACTGGTGCTATGCTGGTTTTAATCTCTCAGATTTCTGCTTTGGTTGTCCTGCTGGCATACTAAGGGTTAAACTGATCCCCAGGTCAGGGTGAGAGTGAATTTTCCCCCTCAGGCTGTTTGTCAGGGGGTACCTTTACCCTCCTCCATTATGCATACCAGAGGTCATTTAGGAGGCCCTTTTACAGGCCCTCTGGCCCCAGCCTTTGCACTCTCTTGCCCTTTCCTAAGGCAGAAGTTGTGGCTTTCAATCAGTTGTGACAGGTCACACATTTGCTCCAGAGCACTACAGCATTCAGGGGGCCATGGTAGCATGTGGGGACAAGGTGATAGGGACCTTTCTGAAATAAGCAAATGCTGTGCTTGCAGTGGATGGCAGTGTGACCCCAGGGGCCCCCTCAGGTTACCAGCCTGAAGGCTGGGTACATGATGGGATGAATGGAGAGACAAACCCCGTGGGAAGGACCTTCCTAGAGATTTTGCACCAATGCCCTTTCTCATGGTTGGGAAGGTTGAACTGCTCAGTGGATATGTCCACAGGTGAACAACAGAAATCAGGATAATCACAGTACTCCAAAAAGTCACTTTCAACTCCTTTTATAGGCAGCCTAAAAGAAAAATGGAAATAATTTGCCTGAGAAGATCCCAAACAGTTTGTGGCTTCACATGCTTATTTTCCTATGTTTTAAAAAATGTTTTCAGTTTGTTGTCTGAAAGATAGACGGAGAGGAAACAGTCTGTGTGATTATAAAACTGAAGAAGCAGCAAAACTGATTAAACATGAGGTGCTGTCAAATGCATCAAGTGAATACACTAGGGAAAAAAATTGCTATTCTTGCTTGGTAGTGTTAGCAAGTCAGAATAAGTAAGTATAAGGATACACAAAAGCACAATTTAAAAATTAGCTACATTTCTGTGAGATGGTGAGAGCATCAGAGCAAATGAGAATTATTCTTAAATGCTTGGAAATAGATCTGTGAACTTCTTAGCATCAAAATAGGATACCAAAAAATCCTCACAGTTTAGCTCTGTATCTGACTTCGAAAGTACTTTCTAGTAAAGCTAATTCTGGGGCTCTTTCTCAACTTTTCATTCTAGGATTTGACCCTGCTTCCCCTTTTCACGTCACGAGAGATGCCTTCATTTGTTTCTCTGATCTCTTGTAGTGACAGCGCCGTGGGTTTTGTCTTGTGTTATTGCTTAGCTCTTCAAGGGTCACACAGTATAATTCCAAGCTGGGGTTTTATGATACTTGTTTTCCAGTATGTCAGACTGATTCCTTTGGGCAAATTTATTATGAGATTACTTAAAATATTGAATAAGTAGGTAAAAATAGCTAACTTGTAAAGAAGTTGTAATTGGCAGTACTTCCAAGGATCAAGGTTAAAAGATTTGAAATGAGTAAGTGAAATGTATCCCAGTGCCATAAAACCCTCATTCCTGAATAGTGGTTGGTTTTGCAGCTGTTTTTTAACTGCCTAGCCTTTTTATAACTAGAATTTGTTTTGCTCTGTTTTCTAATAGCATATCAGCATTCATTCCATTCAACCTTTGTGGATTTCTACATTAGGCAAAAGTGATATAACAGTCAAAGGAGAAAACTTTACGCAAGCATCAGGCATAAAACTGATACTGACTGGAATCACTGGCTGTAAACCAGACGTGTGAGTTAAGCTCTGAAAAATAATGCGCTTTACTTTGCATAGTGAAAGTTAATGCCCCTTTTGCCCTAGCAATAGAGTTGTGTGAACAGGGACTTCTCAGCAGGGGTGAGGTGGGGAGGGAAGGATGCTCTGTGCTGCTTTAGTTATACTTCCACTTTAAATTCCCAAATGATGGAAATTAATTTCGTATTTGGATACAATAGAAGAGATGGGTGGTTAGGAAGCTCTCAGCAGTAGTTAGGACAGTACACAAGAAGATAGGCCATAGGGAAGCAGGTGTTTTGTTTGACTCTCCTCTGCCTCAAAATATCCCCCACAAATTCTAGGATTCTGCTTGTGAAAGCACAGACACCATGCCAGGGAAGGGAATCTCTCTCACAACAGCATGTACTTTTCTCTGTTGATGATTGCACAGTGCAACCCCCTAGATAATTAGGCTGTCTTATTCTGAATCAGTCATTTTCAGGTGCAGCTGCAACACTGCCTGTGATTACCAAACCCATTTTACACAGCTAGCACTTGAAAATGTATTCATATGGTACAGTTCAATTTTTAGTTCAACCATTAATTTCTTGGGGACCTCAGGAAACAAAATATGAAAAGGATGGAGAGAGGGAAAGGAGGGAAATAGAGGAAGTAGAGACAGAGGAAGAAGAGAAAGGGAGAAAGGAGGGGGCCAGAGAGAGAGAAAGAAGAAAGAAAAGGAGTCAGAAGATTCTCATTCTTGACTAGCTAATGTGTTGATAGCACAGTGAAGTACACAGTTTACACAGCAAAATCACACATTGCTTTACATAGCCTCATCCCAAGGCCAAAAGACCAATATTTCTATAGTCTTCTGTGATTATTGTGACAGGTAGCAACTTCATTCAAAAGATGCCCTACTTCTTCTTTTCAGCTCCCTGCTCTCTCTTTGCACTGCCATCTGGCAGCTCAGAGAGAGATTCTTTTCTCTTCTCTTGTCTTTCGCTTTGGGTTATAGGCTTTGTTTAGTAACACCAATGAGTAGCATAGTGGCACCTGTGTTTCAGCATCTGACTCTCTTCTTTCTCTTCCAGCATTCAAGTTAGAAATGTGATAAACGATACACAAATGACATTTGCTCTCCCACCAACACGTAAAGAGGCCAAAAGTATATGTATACAGGCTAATGGGAAAAAATGTTCACCACTTATGACCCTGCGTTATGTTTCACCTCCATCATGCTTTGGAATCACACCAAATACCTCCTGGATCAGGTAAATTTGTCTGTCTATGCTTTTAATGTGTTTATTAGGTGTAGTCCCACTGAGCCTTCTTCCTTGGCCAGACTGCAGCTGATACAAGCTTGGATGACTGCTGCAACATGTTGTAGAAGATGAATTTATGCCGGTGAACTGATTTAACATTTAACACAAAGATAGGGTCATGAAAGCTGCAAGATGGGTCGTGTGTTCTGCAGGTTTCTGTAAACTCTTTCCTGCCCACCTCAGGTCTCCTTTGTAGAAGTCAAAAGTAGTCTCTTCCTACTAAACTAAATCCAAAACATGGGTAGCACACATGAATTCAAACTCTAGTTACCGTTGATTTCTTGATACTCAATATACCCTCCACCTCTGAAAAATAAAGCATGATAAAGCATGAGTGACTTGCTTTAGGACTGGGTTTCCTAAAGCCAAAAGATCCCTTTTCAGGCTTCTGCTGTGTTCTACAGGAAACTCACAGCTCCAGTGGAAGACTTACAGGGTGTTTTTCAGATATTCTCAGGCACAGCTTTCCACCTGTCTCTCTGCCTGCACAGTTTCTCCCCACGGTCACATTCTTAATCTGCTATCTTGGTGTCAGGCGCTGGCAAGTGTGGATTTGAGGTAATACCTTGGGCTGGCAGCTGCAGCAGCTGAGCAGCTAGGACACATACCATCATCTCCAGGTGAGGGGCAGCTCAGGCAGCTGGAAATTAATAATACCTCAAACCACTCCAGCTGTGTTCAGCAGAGATTGTGAGCCAGAGCCCTCAGACACAAGTGCCATTGTGTGTGCTGAGACAGATGGTCTGAACACTGCCGAGAATGTTTCCTGTGAGGAGCCTGGCACCATTGGTTTGTCCTGAAGAAGGCAAGAATTTAAGCATAGGCAGTGCTGCTCTGTCTGGGGCAGCAAAATATCATGATGCTCTTTCTTCAAAACAGAATATTAAATCACAGGCTAGTTCTGTGGCTGCATGAATAGGAAACAAGGTAGAGAGTCTTTGAAAAGAAGGATGCATGTGTATGCTATCTAGTTACTTGGTTTTGTGGTTGCAAAAGCATTTACCATTCCATTATGAGGAAAGAATGGAAGTATGCTGTATAGCTCAAATTATCTTGTCCTGCAGTTTGACTCTATTATATTGGCTGCTACCGAAACAAAATGCACATTCACAGCTGAAGCCTTAGTGAAGAATTTATCTATGGGAAGACAGATAATAACCTCCTTTCCCCCCTTCCTTTTTTTTTTTTTTTTTTTACAGTGGTGGTCGCAGAATTACTACAATTGGTAGAAATTTTAACGTGGTGGACAGTGTGATTATTTCAGATGACCAGAGATCAAACCTTACTGTAAGTCTTAACCTCCTTTACAATACCAAATAGAGGTCTCTTAAGGGATTAGGTTTTATTCCTATGGTTTCAGGAGGATCTCGGTATTTTTCAAACATTTGCAGGCATCCTACTGAAATAAAAATGACCACTTGTAGGATTACAGTTGCACGTAGTCTGAGTATAGGATAATGGATACACGTAAACTATTCTTCTGCATAATTCAGTGAGCCTTTTTTCTATGCTGTAGAATCTTGCTCCAAGTAAATCCTTTTTGAGTCTCCCCAGCCTCCATATATGGGTCCGTTGGAGAAGGGCCTGGTGTACTTCTCTGTGACTTTTATGTTGAGAACCCAAATGGTGCCACTGCCTCATCAAGGAGCAGGAGACTGGAGATAATTTTGGGATTAAACCCTTCCTCTGAGGCTGTGAGGAGGTGGGCACCCAGTTTTCTTCTGGGCTTGCGGCACAGACTAGAAAACAGCATCACCTCCTCATGGCGTAACCGGTGGGGTGGCTGGAGCAACTCTCCTTTATCAGGAGTTAAGCTGGGGAGAGCCAGTGCCCAGAGGTGCTGGAGAGCTGCGTCTGCTCTTCTCTTGCCACCTGCGTTGAAGGGAAGGAAGGAGAAATCACTGTCACTATTCCTGTCTCGCTTCAGGAAATAGCTGCCTTAGCAGTGTGCAATCAGCCTTAAAGCAGCACGCAGGGTGTATGATAAAAGTGCTTGAAGGTAGAGACAGGCTCAGCACAGAAACTTTCCCAGGTGCTCTGGGAAAAGCAGAGAAGAGGTGCTCTGGTGGCAGAGAAGAGGCTTTAGCAGGTATCTGTGTGAAGTCAGGAAAACGTTAAAATTATTTTGAGTGCCTCTGTTTGTAATTGTACCCACTGTTGAGTATTTAATGACTGTTGCAGCTTTGCTATTGCATTTCTAGGTCTCTAGGTATCCTGGAAATGAATCTGAGTATCATTACTTAACGCCAAGCCTAAGCCATGCAACGGAGGGCAAAGTTGTTGATATGATGTTAAAAGTGGAAACTACCTTTATACCATGTGTCAAATTACACTATCACCCTGACCCAGTCTTCATTAACTACCAGCTACACACTGAGCTGGATCCTGATCTGGAATTAAAAATATATGTAAGTTTGAAAGCAATAAACTATAATTCCTTATTTAAAATAGTCATTGGGGATAATTTTATTTCTTACTGTGTTTAGTGAATGTTACTGATTTTCAATTTTTTCTCTCCAGAAAGAAAACGACAACTTGAATATTTCCAAAACTGAGGTAGAGGTTTATCTCTCATACATGAATGGTGCACAGACAAAAAAGATATGGTTCACTGTCCAAAACATTACCAAAAAACCAGATCGTAGCACTATACTGTGCAAATACAAAAGGGAAGGAACAGACAAGATTGACTTTTCCACAGTAAAAGTTTTTGTAAGTAGACTTCCCTTCTGTTGCAATTTAACAGTGCTTGAATGTTTATGCAAGTATAGTAGAAAGTAGCATTAATGCTCTGGTTATGAATGCTCCTTATAGGGGGAGGAACTGGATGCATTTTTTGTTCTCCTTGTGCTTGGTAGTCCTTGGTTATCTTCCCCACATCTAAGCATGCCTGCCTAGCTTAGGTACCACTAACAGTATGGGCTTCATTTACTGTCTGGTTACTGCTGTAGTGTCAGAGGGAGGCTTTGCAGCCCAAGCTGAGCTCACTGCTGCTGAGCTCCTGGAGAGCAGTATCTTGTCAGACCTCTGGCTGCAGCACAGACATCACTGATAAAGCATCACTGGCTTCAGGAGAGCTCCTCATCTTAGATCTGCTGCTGGAGTGTGGCCATAAGGAAAGCATTGTGTCCTCATATTCACTTTTTCCCTGCTGAAGTAGATAAGGATCTTGAACATTGCATGAGGATCACTACTGAGACAGAGTAAAAGGCATTTCTGGATAAAGAAGGGGATGAATTTCAATATGCACCAAAACACAATGGAGGAGACCAAAAAGCTATGAACACATGGCACAAATCCTGGCTGAAATATAAGAATATTATCACGCATGCCGAAGCTAAGTGGAGGCTTAAGATATTTGCTCCATGAATAAGATGAAGATGTGAATTTTTTAAAATGCAGTCATCACCATTTATGAGGGAGAAAAATGATGCCAGACCCTTATTGCAGTGTACAGTAGTATAAAGCTGAAATAACTCTATTGACTTCAAGGCATATGGTTCGTAGTAAAGATTAACGAAGCTATTCTCAATTTCATATCACTCTTAACTGATCCTCCATCTGTGGATCCTGCCGTCTAAGCCAGTTATGGCATGGAAAAGCCTTGCTGAGATTGGTATTGCATTTAAATATTAACATTGCCTTGCAATATCACATGCTCATCCTGCAAGCTTCATAGGAGTAACTGTCAGAGAAAGGTCACCACTTCACTAAGGCAAATCAAATCCAATAGTTATAATGTTACATTTCACTTCTGCTGCCTTGAAAATTGTTTTTTTCCAAAATCAAGGAAAAAGTAAAAGTAGAAAAACATCATGTGTTTTCTACCTTATAAATAAATCATCATAGAAGAGACAAGGCCACTCTGAAGAGAGGATAAGCTGAGTATAGAATATAGGTAAGGCCCAAGAATAAGTGTTATCTCGCGCCTTAGTTTTCAGGCAGAAAGAGAGTGTTTAGTGTGGGGTCAAAGACAGGATGATCAGTCTGAATGGAAGTGTCAAAGAAGAAAATGCCATTCTTGTGACAGAAGCAAGATTCAGATAGAACAAGGGCCTCAAGACAGCTGGAACAGGATCATTCCCATCACAGCACTGAGAAAGAACTGTCACATGATATTGAAGGCTTGGTAGGAAAGATTTTAAATAAAATGGTAGAGTCAGTAGAGCACTGTATACCTGGAGAACAGCAAATATAAAACCAGTATTTAAAACAAAAAAACCCCAAACAACAAACCCCAAAAAAACCTAACAAACAAAACCCACAAAAAACCCCAAAACTTATGGAGGTGGAGGCTTGCTGATTTAATCCTAGGTCTATGTAAAGCCTTACAAACTATTTTGGATGAGGGACTTATGAAAGACCTGGAGGTAAATAGAAAATGGAATAATTGTCATCTTATTTTGAATAGAAGCAGATTATTCTAGATATTTTTATTTGGTGAGATGAGTGATTTCCTCAACAACAAAAAAAGCTGCATGTCACATGTGCCTGGAAGGTATTCAGTAAACTATTTAACACAGTGATTATGAAGAGGCTAGGGATTAGAAAAACTTGGTGCTGTGTATGGGGAGCTGACTGGGCAATGTGGAATTTCATACAGGTAGTATTTAATATCACTAGTGACTTGAGCACAAAAATAAGGCATGTACTAATAGCATTTGCTGATGACATAAAGCTTGGAGGTATTACCAGTCCAGAGGAGGTTTTACAATGTCATGCAGAAAGAATGAAATCAGTTTAGGAATAGGAATCGGATTCATTCAGGTATACCTTATATAGTCTGTAATTCATAAGCAAGATAAATAAAATATAAGGAAAGAAATTGAGCCAATGAGTAGGAAGGTTATGGTGAAGATTAAAGATAATCTAAGTATGAACAGAAAATAAAATGAATGTATTGCCTCGGTTGGATGTGTAACAGGAATTTCTGCCTTAGGAATGCTTTGGTTGGACATGACAAGTTGAGAAAGTCAGATGTATTAGACACAGGATGATTAATGTATTTAACCAACAATGCATTTTAGCCTTAGAAAAGGAAAATGGGATCCTGAGAAGGCTCAGATGGGAAGTAGTTTGTATAGGAACTATGAAAGCACATAGACAACTGAGGACAAATCACATTTGATGGAGGAAATAGGTTTGCTTTGTCTTCTCTACTTTGGGGCCCCGAAAACATGAAAGCTGTGTCCTTCCAGCCCTGTGGGGTTTTCTCTGCTTGCTTGTGCCTGTGTAGCTGTGATGTGACTATCTAGTTAGTAGTGTCCAGCTGCCCTGGCTTCTCGCCTCCTGTCAGAAGTCAGTGATTGGAATCACCAGATCTGCTTACCCTACTGTAACCCAAAATACATTCAACCCATCTCTCCTTTTCAATTATCTCAGACTCATTTCTATCCCTGGCACTTACTGGTATTCTTTTTTTTGTGTTGAAGTGTATTTTTGCTTCTAGTCTGTTTATAGTCTTAGCTACCCTTTATTTATGTGCTTTCACAGTCCTCTTTGAGGATCCTCCTTTGTGGAATTTCATCTGCCATAATTATCAGTGGTAAACAGCTCAGTCTGGCATTATGCAGACTTCAGCACTTTCCTGTATTCCTAAGAATAATGCCTGTCATGCTCTTGACAATCCCAGTAGCTGTTGGGGGATGTTGTGTGTGTATTTTATGTTGTATTTGTTCTGAAGTGGACCTTCAGGAATGCCCTACATCCTACATAAAGAGGTTGAAACTTCAGCAAAGAAACAGGGAAGAGAGCTGTGGGCCAGGTCTCTATCAAAAGCTTTACTTCCTTCTTTGTTAGCATGAGTCTTATCATACCTTTTTGCTCAGCAGAGCAACAATGTGAGTACAAAGGAATGTTCTTAAGTACCACCACGTACCTTCCTCCCTTCAAAGTTTCGGAATGTTTAGCAGTTGTTCTGGAGTGCGTGAGCCATTTGGCCAGCTGGAGGTCAGATCTTGCCATTCGAGGGCTCTAGTTTGCAGTGAGAGCAATGGCAAAATGTGGTGCTGCCTGAGGACCTCCACATTTTACTCTTGGCACTGCTCTGTTATCCAGCTTAAACATCAAATATAGTAAAAGTTAAGTTTATGTTACTGCACGTTTTCCCGAATTGCTACTGTCTTCCCAATAATCTGCAGAACCTGGGTCCTTCATGTGCCTCAAATACTTTTAAAAAATACATTAAAAGTAGTTTTAAGCACTGATATAGTACCTATTCCCTGTTAACACAGCTGTTGTTTTTCTTCAGGTCAAATTAGGAAATTTTGAGCATGAAGTCAAACCAACATCATCCCACATATATTTATATGTTCTTATTTTGCTGCCTATTGTAGTGGGTGTCATTATAGGTAAGTACAATAATGTGTTTACAGTTTTTTATTTGCTGAGGGATATAATCACGACGCAGAAACACATAATCATACACATGTACGTGTTTGTGACTTTCACAAACAGTCTGGTAGCTTTCTTCTGTTCCCAGTAAGAGTGGGCAAAGTTAACCCTTGTCTGGTGGTAAAGCCCATCTTCTCAGACTACAGCATGTTACAAGACAGTAGTTCTTGCTGTTCTGCTGGCATTACTCACCACCGTTTAATGAGGCCAAGCCATAGGACTGACATCCTTGTGTCACAACTTGAGCCCTTCCAGCTGTCAAAGCTGGGCTCCCCACCTGTCCCTGGGGCAGATGTTCCCTTACAAACTGCTTATTCTCAGTGTTTGTGGTGTTTCTGCTTAGTTTCATCTGAATTGTTCATTAATTTGTAGGTCATAGAAAAATTGAAGGGGGTATATTGTTATCCCACCTCTTCTAGTCACTTCTTTTCTCTGAATGTTTTGACCTGATTATGTATTTGATAATTTCCCATTTATTGTAATAAGTTTAGAGGTTTTTACTTTGGTTTGGTTTCTTTTTAAAGGTTCGTTACCTTTACAGGAACCGTATCTCATACCTTTACTCTCTCAAAACAAGTTTTAGAAAAGTTAACAACTTGGAAGTGGATTTCCTGTTCAAAACAACTGCCTTTCCTGTTTAATGAGTGCTACTTAAAGTAGGTTGCTAGTAGTAGAAGTGATTGTTAGGTTCTGGGTCCCACTGTGCAGGTTGTACATAGCAGGAGGTGCTTTCAAATAAAGTTGGATTGACAACTCTAAGACCTTGTTTAAAGAAATGTTTTTCATGAAACATTGGGGTTTGATCCAGATAACTAGGGCTCGTGGATACTAGCACACTGACAACAGTAGAAACACAAATGCCCCTGGAGAGTGCAATTTTAATCTTTCTGTTTTCTAAAAATAATATTAAAATATGTCTTTTATAGAGGTTGTCTGTTCTGTAGTTTCTGTGCTTAGCATCTTTTTTTCTTTCTTTTCAGTGGCATTCATAGTTACTAGATACAAATCCAAAGAGTTAACTCGTAAACAGAGTCAGCAACTTGAACTGCTGGAATATGAGATTCGGAGAGAAATACGTGAGGGTAGGTCTAAAGAGTTTTATAAAGCTTAAGTACAGCATAATTTCTGAACTGAAACTGTCAAGAAGCTCACATTGTATAAACATTTACATTTTCTAGCTGCTAGAATATTTTTGTGTTGTATCAGAGTTCCTCTTTAATGTTGGTGTGCACTGCAGTAGCAGATAACACTGAGCTAATAGGATTGTACATAATATTTCCTTCAACAAAAGTGGGGGAAAAATGGATTGGTACTTTTCCCCTCATAAAAGCTTCAGCTAGCAAGACAGCTCCTCTTCCCTCAAAGCTGTTTTTCAAGGAACATCCATTGGGGCCATTATAATTGTGAAGATGACTTTGTGTCAACTGAACTAACTCTCTGGGTGGGGAGGGGGGGTGATTTTTCAGGATTTGCTGAACTGCAGATGGATGAATTAGACGTGGTGGATAGTTTTGGAACTGTTCCCTTCCTTGACTACAAACACTTTGCTCTTAGAACTTTCTTTCCAGAGGTAAATATTTATAAGTCTTTCAGTTGACAGCTCTGCCTAATAATGAAAAAGCTGGGAAGGTTGGGATCAAATAACTGAAGTAAATAATACACAGTAATTGCACATTGTTTTCACAAGAAACTTTTCTTGAATCAAAAATTACCAAAGAACATGTAAGGCTGTAAATCTCTGTATTTAACCAAGCCTAAATGCTGTAGATAAAGCACTGTTGTTGAATTTTCAAGGGTTGTGTGTGTATGCATTTCTTTTTCACCCAGCCTCACTTAATCGCTTGCCTTTCAGACCATCCTAACAAAGCTATAATTTATCCATTGCTTTTCTTGTTCTCATGCTTTCACTTCCCATGCTATAGCTAATTAAAGTAACAGTCAGGCTAGCTAACATGCTAGCTAACATCATGACACTTCCTAATTAGACTTGTGGGATGAAGAAATGGCTCTAAGGTCGTGCTGACTTTCTACTCCAAGCTGCTGACAGAAATGGTAAGACCTTGATTCAAAGGAGTGTAGGTCAAATGCTTAAAAAATAGAGAAGTGCTGTCCAGTTTAGAAATTAAAGTTTTCATTGTTCTTTCAAGCAGTTTGTGCCAGTGTGTTGGAGGACTGAAGAGGCCTTCTCTTGAATGTTTTACTTCTCTTGCTATTTTTTTGCATGTGTGGGGCACATCACAATGCTGGTAGTTGCATTTGCCACAGCTTTCAAAATTGTATCATGATGTTAACCAGTGATTACTGGTACTTACTAGTTGTCAGAAGCTGTGATCTCAGCTGGTGATATTTTGCCATGTAACTGACACCAATGAGTAGAAGACCCTTTGGTTAGTGCTGTGGTGCTTTAGGGTATAGCTGGTATGTATGCAAATTATCTACTAGTCTTCATGTGTTACTCATCACTACTGTGACCCAGTCCTCCAGTCTTATCTGCACACTGCTTCACTCTGTCACCATGTGTGATCCCACTAAAAGTTCATTGTGATGAAGTTAAACACGTGCCAGTGCAGATTCAGGGCCTGTTTTTGTGCAACACCAAATGCAAGATACTAAAGCAGAATGATATATAACAATTATATATGCATATTCTTTGGACCATGTCCAGAGGAGAGCCATGAAAATGATCAGAGGGCTGGAGCAATTATCTTAGGAAGACAGGCTGAGGGAGTTGGGATTGTTCAGCCTGGAGAGGAGAAGACTCTGGGGGGACCTTATAGTGGCCTTCCAGTGCCTGAAAGGAGCCTGTAAGAAGACTGGGGAAGACCTGTTCACAAGAGCATGTAATGATAGGACAAGAGGTAATGGTTTCAAGCTAGAGAGGGTACAGTTAGGTTGGACACTAGGAAAAAGTTACTTCATATGAGGGTGGTGGATCACTGGAGCAGGTTGCTGAGAGAGGTGTTGGGGGCCCCGTCCCTAGAGACATTGAAGGTCAGGCTTGATGAGGCTCTGCTTATTGTAAGGGAGTTGGACTAGATGACCTTTGTAGGTTCCTTCCAACCCAATACATTCTATGATTCTGTGATTCTATGATTTTTGCACACTTTTCGTCCAGTTCCCATACCAAAGGAAACTGGCAATATCTCTTCTGGCACTGCTGTCATGCCCTCAGTCTAATTTGTATGGGGTCACAACGAGGTTTGAAGAAAGTGAATCAAGGAAACCTTACTTTCTACATCTCTTCCCTTTCCATTTGTTTTGTTGCCAGGCATATTAGCATTAAAAGTAGTGTTTTTATTTTTAGGAATGTATCTTTCTCTAGTGATAGTCCTCTGTCAAAACAGTAGCAATCTGTAGAAGCTCTCTGGATGAAAGTTATTTGATTTGTGCAAATAAAAAGGAGAGAAAAAAAAGGCACGAAGCCTTCCACTCAGTTGCATGATGTGAGGTGAGAAAGGGAAGGGCTCCTCTTTTGCCTTGGCAAGTCTCATGCCACTGCACACCCTGGAAATGATTCCAATTAGATTTTGTCTCAGTTTGAATGCTGATACCACAAGGGTAAACTTGCCACTATTAGCTCTCTAACAGACATGTGGTGTCAGGCAAGTTATTTAATATATTGTGTACCAATTTTCCCTGCTAAGTACTTACTGTTTACATTGCAGGACTGTCCAAACATCCCTTGTGCAGTGTGGAAGTGGTAAGAGAGCAGTGTGCTTCTGAGAAAAATCTCAGATTAACAGAAAAGGTGATGGGGTAGTAGATTGCAGCCAAGTGTCAGAAAGCTTGACAGAAGGATCAAAATGACAGACCACCACTTCCCCCACTAACCTTGTGTGTTTGAATGATCTTCCAGTGTGTTCCGTGAGCTTAGCCTCATCTAATCTAAGCTGTTTAAACACGAACATCAAAGCTATTAGCTGAGCATCTTCTGTAGTCAGTGCAGAGACAGGCAGCTCAAGAAAATTACTCATCCCACTTCCCTGAGACATCTGTCTCAGGATGGGATGAGCTGCTTAAAGAGGGAGTCAGATACATAAAATTAAGAGTGATGGACCCCATCTTCATTTTCAGCTTCTCACTTCCTGCTGCTTCAATTTTCTGTATTTAATCTGTCTTGATAGCTTTTGTTCTGTACTTAATGCTTGTAGGTGTTAAATGGATATTACATCTATTTGTAAAATATTTGTATATTCAGCCTGATTTTTGCTTTACTTCTTAATTTTTGGTATTTTCTCTATTTTCCTTCAATTTCCCACATTATTTTATTTAATGCTACCACGCTTGTTTCCTGTTCACAAGCATTTTTAACCTTTAATATGGTTCTAGTTGTTTCACTCTGTGTGTGTGTTTTTTATTGGTAGGTGGTGTTAGGGGTGCTGCAAAAATGGAAATAGCCAGTGGAATAAGAGGAAGAAGAGTATTGCAGGGGTGAAGATAACAGGAGACATGAGGAAAGGAAGGGATGAAAAATCAGATATGTAGATGAAAACTTAGATGTGTATTTGCAGCCCAGAAAGCCAACCATGTCCTGGACTGCATCAAAAGAGGCTTGGTCAGAGGGTCAAGGGAGGTGATTCTCCCCCTCTACTCTGTTCTCTTGAGACCCCACCTGTAGTGCTGTGTCCAGTTCTGGGATCGCCAGTACAAGAAAGACATGGATCTGTTGGAGCAGGTCAAGAGGAGGGCCACAAAAATGCTCAGAGGGCTGGGACACCTCTCTGTGAAGAAAGCATGAGTGAGTTGGGGTTCTTTAGCCTGGAGAAGGCTCTGAGGAGACCTTATCGAAGCCTTTCGATATAAAGGAGGGTGATAAGAAAGATGGAGAGTGAGTTTTTACCAGGACCTGTAGTGACAGGACGAGACAATGATTTTAAACTGAAAGAGGATAGATTTAGATTGGTCATAAGGAAGAAATTCTTTACAAGGACAGAGCACTGGAACAGGCTGCCCAGAGAGGTTGTGGAGTCTCCTTCGCTGGAGACATTCAAAACCCGCCTGGACACGTTCCTGTGTGATGTGCTCTGGGTGATCCTGCTCCGGCAGGGGGGTTGGACTGGGTGATCTTTGAAGATCCCTTCCAACCCAAACCACTCTGTGATTCTATGATTTCTTAATGAAACTGAGGGCTGCCAGCATCACATATAAAGCAGATGACAGTAAATGTCAATTTGTCATTCAAGGGTGCTGCTTTGGGAACTTGCAGTGTTGTTGGAACCTTACAGACTATAAGAGTAATACAAGAGGCATTGAGAAGGTATTTGAGAACTGAGGGCTTCCTTTGTTGTGAGAGAGCTTTCACTAGGACTGAATGTGTGGTGGCACCTGTGCCTCCCTGGAGACTGACAGCATGGACCTCCTGGAGAGTTCATTAGTGATCATTCATAATGTGCCTTGAAATGAATGGAGGCAGATGAACTCAAGTGTCTATCATTGTCATCCAAGAAGGACACAGCCTGCAGCTCCCCTTGCACACTAGCACTTCTGCAGATGAGGGCAATAAACAGCTTTTCCTGAGCAGGATTAGCAGACTTTGTGCTAGTGCAGCTCAGCAGCACAGAGTAGCACACAGAGTAACACTGAAGTCAATGCCAGGTCATCTTTGACAGTTCACTTTTCAGTGAACCTTGGCAGCACCTTTGCAGAAGTTACCATGTAGATTTTGTGTATTGTGGCTGCATTAGAAGCCAGCATTTCCATTGCTTTATTTCAAGTTGTATGCCTTCAGGAACATGCTTGGCATGTTCGGCATAAATGTGTTAGAAACGTTTGGTATACATAAGAATGATAAATATCACCTGTCTTATATTTTAGTCAGGAGGCTTTGCATCCATCTTCAGTGAAGACATGCCACAGGTAAGTTGATGTAGTGTTATAATAAAGATGTTTTTCAAGAGTGATTGTGTCCCTTATCTCATTGTTCTCCTGAAACACATCAGATTGCATTTTCAATATGTTCCCTTTCCCCCATGAGGAGGGTTACATAGATTTATACAGAAAAAGAATTTTATATGGAAGATGCTGTCGCCCAATGTATTTAATGACTTGTTTAAAAAAGACAAACAGAATCTAGTCATGGGAAATGACAGGCAAACTTAACTATGGGCATTACTTTGTATATATGACAGAAAATGTATGCTCTACATGTGTGTACTCCATGTGACAAACAAATACAAATGCATCTTCAGTAAAATCCTGAGACCCATGAAGTAAATTAAAAATTCCCACTGATTTTAACAAGGCCAGGATCTTATCTCCTATGTTACTTACCATTTTTCTGAGCATTAAAAACCCGTCATGGCCAAACTACAGTTTGCTTATTTTTGTTTAACTATTCCAGAGCAGAGACCAAACGAGCAAGGATGAAAGCTTCAACATGTTGCATGCTTTAATTTGTAACAAGAACTTTCTTGTTACTCTCATTCACACCCTTGAAAAGCAGAAAAATTTCTCTGTGAAAGACAGGTATAGTATGCTTATGCTTATCATCTTCAAGACAAAGAATTAGCAGGGAAAAACAACATGGATTGTAGAACAAATGTAATTTCTACTTCCTGTAAAACAACCTTGCAAATACTCCAGAGCATTTTCCCATCTTCTCCATCTGCACACACTGAGGAAGAAAAAAATTGCCATTGAAACAAGCTGTTAAAGAGAAACTGGAATGTTTGCACATGTAAACAAAGAGGCAGAGGAGCAGGAAGACTCTTCCTGAAGTTCGATCAAAGGTTCTACAGTTTAGAAATGTTCTGGCACTGAAGCAGATGTTGTTCTGCAAAACTGAATCTAGAGACACAAATTCTGTGTTTAAGAAATAATCACAAGAGCAGATAGACTTGCATTTTTTTTATATTTTTGTAGCAATCATTGTACAGTATCTGCACCTAAGGAGGGAAAACTTAGGATGTGAACTGCAGTAAAGTGTGTTTCATTTATTAAAAATTACTGGAATGAGAAATTGCAACTATTATAGCATTCCTTTTTTTTCTTTTTTTTTTTTTTTTTTAACAGGTGCTTGTTTGCATCCTTCTTGACTATTGCACTACAAACTAAGCTAGTTTATCTAACCCATATTTTGGAAGTGTTGACAAAGGACTTGATGGAGCAGTCAAGCAATGTACAGCCTAAGCTTCTGCTTAGACGAACTGAATCGGTGGTAGAAAAATTGCTGACAAACTGGATGTCTGTCTGCCTTTCTGGATTTCTCCGGGTATGTGTTCATCTTTTCAGTATATAAGATACACAAATAGGTTTTTGAACGGATTTCTTCCATGGGAGTTGTTAGAGGGACCAGTTTAAAGCTTCCAGTCTAATATTTAACATTATCAGTGTGCATGTCTAGTTTAGGTGACCTACCTATGATCAGTGGGATGTAGGAAAGAGCACATCTGTAAGTGAGGATCGTGTCATTTATTTGGCTGAGATTTGTGTAATTTTGCAATTGTAGCATATCCTTTTCTCATGTCAGACATTATTTCATCTCCATGAGATGTCTTGTGATCACACTAAAAGGCTGACACACTCCTTAAAATGCAGCTGTGCCTTTCCATACAAGCTGTTGGAAAGCTTCCACATAATGGAGATTTAAGGAATACTGTCTTTCGGAAAACTGCAGTTCTTTCTAAGCTTTTTAACCTCCAAACAGCAGTGCAGGTTTCAAAAACTAAATGACTTAAAGTACGAACAAAATAAACTTTATTTTGTGTTCCTGTTTATTTTAGCCCACTTGGTAGCACTTTGTTCTTGGTTTCAGTGCCTGGCCATGCTTCCTGCCTCTCTTATCAGTGTGATAGGGTATCACTCATATCTGTCTTCCTCTTACCAGTAACACAGCAGCAGCAATGTGTGAGGCTCAGCAGCTCACACTGGTTTCTTGAAACCCCAGGAGAGAGCCAAGGAACTGTCAGAGATGTGTTCTCAATACACCAGTCATCTTCATAGAGCTGTGCTGGTGTGATGCCTCAGCCAAGCTCCAGGAATGGTGTCACACAGAAACAAAGATCCATCCTTCCTTTCTCAGGTGCTTTCCTGAAGCCTGGGGTCCAGGCAGGAGAGGGAAGCCCCAGTTTCATTTCTTCTTTTGCTGATCCACCAATATATGTCCCACCACATTGGTCCCAAGGCATTTTTTCAGGGACAGCAACGGGAGGCACCAGTTGCAAAGGAAACTGATTGTTAGCTTGTCTCACAAGGCTGAAATAGGAAGAAATAGCTGAAGTATGTGTGTGAACACATGCATGTCTCACCCCCCACCGCACTGCAGTGGAACTAGGAAGTGTCTGCCAGGTGGAGTAGGAGCAGCTTGTCTGTAGTGTGCTTGTGCACAGCGAGGGGCTGTGAGCTATCTTGCCACACACTCCAGCTGTCCCTTGCTATTTGCATGAAAAGCAAGGGATGGAGGTTAAACAAATAACTAGATACATCTACTCAGTTGGATTTTCTTTTCTAATTGCAAGATGATAAGTTACTTAAAAGGAAATAACTTAATTTGTTGATTCTTGGCTATTTATTTGTGCCTGTTTAATGATTACAAAACCTAACATGTTCCCTGTGTTTGTTTCATGTTCTAGGAGACAATTGGTGAACCTTTCTATTTGCTGGTGACAACCCTCAATCAGAGGATAAACAAAGGACCTGTTGATGCGATAACTTGCAAAGCTCTGTACACGCTTAATGAAGACTGGCTGCTGTGGCAAGTGTCTGAATTCAAAACAGTGGTATGTTTGCCAGTGTGTGTTCCCTCCAAACATGGCCAACCACAAGGTTTTCTCTTTTTATGGAAAGCTAAATTAAGGCTCTTAGACACTAATGTGATGGTTAAGCACCCAGATAATAAAATTGTTATTGCTGACAAAGTTTCAAACTGCAATAAAGTTTGACTAGCTGGTATTTCACCAATATACCTTTCCCAAACAGCACTTAATTCTTGCTTCACAGCATGCCTTAATCACTAAAAGTTAGGTTTAATGAAGTCTCAGGGTATTAAAATTCCTTTTAATTTTTAAGTGTACTGCAAAAATACAAACATATGCTTAGAATTTAAACCAAATTGCACTTTTACAATGAATGAAAGAATGGAATGCAGAGGTTTTCTTTTGCTGTTGTGTTTACTTGTGGCTAATCCTCAGGCAGCAATAATTTGCTGTGGGTTTCCATGTTACGAGCTTCAAATTAGTTCCAAATTAGCGAGGTTACAATGTGGTGGATTTTAATTACTTGCTTGTTTAAAAACAAGGTATCTGGGAAGCCTAGCTAAGTTTCTGAACTTTACTTCTCAAATTAACTATGAACTGTTTCCTATTTTACAGTTACACCCAGAATTCTTTGGGATTCTTTGGGATTCCTTTACTGATTGTCACTCTGACTTGAGGGGAGAAGGGACAGCAGGGATTATTGCATTTCAGACTGTGTAAAAATTGAGAGTTTTTGAGTAGGAGGTCTGCAAAAGGTTTTCTGAATAACCAGAGTATTTTTTTTTCCAGACTTTCCAAATTAGTTTGAATCTGAGAATCTTCATTTCCATAGCTTCCTTTCTTCTGAACTCCTGGCTTCCTATCAGAGTTACCAGACATATTCAGGAATATGGGAAGTGTGACTGAGTAGTGAATGGGCTTCAGAGCTCAGGAGCAGAAATGGCCAGGGCAGCAACTGCTTTGGCAGGGACACTTGAATTGCTGGTGGCTTTGGAGGAGAATTTAGTCATTTTCAGAGTCTATATCCTGAGCCTTGGGTAGGGCTGGAGCTTCCAGGTCTGCCCATCTTCCATTTTTTGTGGCAAGAACCTGGAGGTCCTAAGGTACCACATACTGGACCCCAGAAATTTTGTCTGGTCAGCAATCCATTGGACTTACCTCACTGGGTCAGAGAGGAAGCTCCCTGAAATGACAACCTTTCTGTTAAACATTTCTGAATTGTCACTTTCTGCTGAAAGCTTTTGGACTGACAATTATACAGTCAAGTCTTCTTACAGCTGTTTACAAAGCTGTTGTTGGAAGCTTCATGTAAAGGTACTTCAAAGCTAAGTTACCACAATGTGCATTTGGAAAGGAAGCTTGTGACTAAAAATTAAATGCATTATACTGTATCTTTGGTTTCCTTATTTGTGTTCTGCATTCTGGCAGGCATTTGGAATCCAGGGTGAGTTTAAATGTATTTCTATAGTTAGCCATAGGATATAAAACCCAGTAGTTAGGCAGAACAACAATTTTCAAGCACGCTCAATATGCCTGTTACTAGTAGACTGCACAGGAACATCTGATCCTGTGAAATTGATTGACTTTTTCTATTTATAGCACAAATTCAAACTGAGAGCACTTTGAGGGGATAGCTGACTGTGAAACTGCTGAACACAGCCTTAAATACTTCTCCTAGTGGTACCTCTCTGCATGCAGTTGCTGATAGGGTCCTGTGGGCAGCCTGCAGTGAAGAGCAGAGAGGAGAAGTGGTCTGAAGGACTGGCTATCAGCGGGAAGGCTGGCTGTGGATGGGGGAGGAAGTGAGAAAGCAGATAGTCTTTCTTGAACATTACTCACTGCCTTTGTACTTGGTATTGCTGCTTTTGAATTGGAGATAATGATACTGTTACAGGGCTAATTAGGCAGCTTTCTCCACTGAGGTCCATCAGTTTATTTGACTTAGTTTAGAGGTGGTTGAATGTTCCCTTTAAAACCATCAGAAAAGGAAAGGATACTGTAGTTAAATTTCAGAGATGGAGCCCAAGGGCTCTGGCTGGGCAGGGAAACAGTTTTGTTTGGTCTTTTGTCTAAAACCTATGCTGGAAACTAAACTGTGCTGTGAAGGAGATGTAGGTGAAACAGTGAGGCTTTCTGGGCTGTGGAACAGGCCAGCTCTGCACATTTTCTCTTCACAAACAGCATTGAATGGCATGCTGAAGTGGAAGGACTCTGCTTTTCTTCTCTCTCAAACACCGTTTCTCATGCACTGCGGTGACATGCAGGACCTGTGAGCATGAAGTCAGGAAGCCAAGTATTTTCTTCTTGCTTTGGAAGAAAATTTCTGCCTAAAGGATTGGAGGTTTTGTTATCTAAATGGAGTAAATCTAGAGCTGAGTTTTCAAGTGCATTTGCAATTTTGCTCAATGCAGTTACAATCTGAGTCTTTCAGTATTTTGTTGGTATTTTATTTTGCCCCTTTCCACAGCCCCAGAATGACAGTACATTAAAAGCTACCCATCCAGAGCAAAGTATAAAAACACAGCCGAGAGGAGGGTTATTGATACTAGAGCACATCTGTAGACACTCAGTCTCCAGATTTTTAAGGTTATGTAGGCACTTGAAGATGCAGGGATGCATCTGGTAGGGAGTTCAACTCAAATCAGTGTCAAGGCACAAGGGTGTAGGCACTCTATATGCATATCTCTCTCCTTTCAAGATTGGGTCTTCAGTTCCAAACTAATAAAAGCAGGATACAGGCAGGCTCCTAAAAGTCAAGGGAGCTCCACAGGTCTTCTCCTAAGCACACCACCATGCAGATAAACTCTTGGGGCAGGAGAAAGAAGAAGCACTGGGCATAAAGAAAGAAGGAAGGATAAGGAGATATTTTCTGAAATTCAGGCCATTTGTAACAAGAAAAAATGAGAACTAAGAAACATGTTGGTTTTGAACTGTATTAGAGTTGTCTCTTGGCTGGGCCCCATGCCTTTTTGAAAGAGGCCATGGACCTTGAGACCAGCCAGCCCCCTTCCTGCTGGAAAGTATCAGATATTGAACAGAGATGGGCTGCTGAAGTAAATACTCACACAGAGGAGTTGAAGGAAAGATGATTCTAAAAGCATAGGTCCAGTATGAGGTGAGGAGCTGTGTTGTTTCACTCTGTGCTTGTACTGGAGTTCTGAGACATTAAACTGCTTTGAAAGAGACTGGGATCTCACAGGCAGACAAGCAGCTGCATCCCTTGTTGGATAATTTGCCCAGTGATTGGTGAGGAAGAGGCAGGGTGCACAGCTAAGGGTTAGAATTTCACTGAACTGTTTCATTTTAAATAGGAAAGCAACACTGCACAAGCCTGGTGTTGGGAGAAATTTTTCTGTGAACTTCTTCATGTAGTAGACTTGGTATTTGGGCATTTAAGAGCTACAAAGTTGTTCTGGGCTGTTGAATTCTTGTGCTGAAATGTTTGCATATTTAGATGGGAAGAAATTATCTGATTCACCTGTTCAGCCAACAGCCTTTTACAGAAAGTGAAGCAAAGCCACAGAGTGGAAGGTTCTTTTAAAGTGTTCAACTGCTTTACAAGTTGAAAGAAGGGTGTTAAAAAGAAGTGGGAGGGCTGTTAGGGAGTAAAGCAGAGACAGAGAACCAGTTTCCTAATAAGACACCATGGCTGTGGTATTATTAGGTGCACTTTGTAAGAGTTAAGGAAGCTATTAAAATAAGCATGTGGCATATGGGGATTTTCTTCAGCAGCAAAGGACACAACAGCCCTTGCCAGGAAGTGAGCAGTGCAGATGTTGGCTACAGGGGAGTCTCCTAAATTAGGTACAGGTGGAGTACCATGCTGAAACATTGAGAGTAAACCCTTGCTTGCGCAGTGCTCATCTAGCGTCAATATAACTCCTGTAACATTTTTCTATGCCAGTTTGTTAGCTGTTCTCTAACTTTTTAATGGGTAACTGTTCTGGCTGCTACAGAAGGATGACACCATCAACATGATTTTTTCTGTTTATTGTATTTCATAGTCTAGGATACAGGGAAGTAGGCTTAAGGCAATTTTCTTGTCCTGTACATCATGGCACTGTCTCCTTTACATGCTTCTCTAACATATACCAATCAAAAGTTTTTCTTGTTTTTTTTTCAGTCTGTCTGATAAATGGAAATAGACTTTGTTCAGATGCATAGCTGAATAGAGAAAAGGGTAATGAATAAGAACCCTTGAATATCCCAGATGGTTTTTCTTTACTTCTAAGAAAATATGCTATTATCTCGTTTCTTAATGAAAGCACATCTCATTCATTATCTGCTATGGCTATTTATATCTTTACTAAATAATTCATATTCAGGAAAACTACAAATCTGAAATACATTGTCTTCAAGTGTCATTATTACTGTCATTGCGTGAGCAAAAAGATGTTTTTTAAAATTTGTCCCTGTCTTTAGCTAGTTTCCAAGCTAGTTCCTATGCAATTAGTTGCAGATGCTTGCCTTGTTCTCCTTAAGTAGCCTATTACAATTCTTGCAACCTGTGTTAAGCCTTCACTGAAAAGCACCATGAATTTGTGTTGCTGTTAATTTTAGTGCTAATTTTAGTGCTAATTTTAGAGTTTAGTCTTAACTCTAGGTATTACTGGGTTGAACCACATGTCCTGTAATTTCCTCCTGAATCTTTCCCT